GTGGCCTGACTGGCCTTTCTAATTTGGTCTAAAAAAAGTCAATGATGATCATTGTGAAGGGGTGTCCAGCCCATCAGTGGCGGTTCTAGACCAATTTGACTGGGGGGGCCACTGGGGGGCCAGTTATTTTCTGAGGGGGGCATAATAAATGCAGGACGAAAAAGAGAACTAGACAATATGAAGTAATTGCGCATAAGAAAACAATGCAATACAGTTATTGGTATTTGTTTCAGTACACTTATTTATTTCAGATAGATCTTATAGTTATTACTGTTAGCTTCAGCTTCAGTTATAGTGCAATGTTTGCACTAACACCATATTTATATAAAAATAAAGGCAATGAACAGTTACATCTCTACTTTACATAAGGGTGTCTGCACAATCCCACATTACAGCAACAAAATCCTGCGGTTTTTGGCAAACCGAGTACCAGAAAATATACATTTAAAAAAAAAAAAAAAAAAAAAACTTTTCATTGTTAGGGGGGCCACAGGGGGGTCAGAGGTCAGTGTTAGGGGGCACTGGCCCCCTGCCCCCCCCTAGAACCGCCCCTGCAGCCCATATCAATAACATACCAAACTACAGGCTAATGTGAGATTCAGAAATTAATTTTAAAAATCATGTTTTCATGTTATAGTAGGCCTACCTTACATGAACCTGTTTGAAAGCTTAATGACCCCATGATGTGATTATTTATATCTTACAACCTTTAACAACTATATGTAGATGTTCATAAATATACATTTATGTATAAATACACGTGTAGCAGTTAGACAAACATAATTAATAGATGATCTCATTATTACCTATTTTATATGTACTAAAAAATAAAAATAAAGTTTACTAATGCTGCGTTCACACCGGACGCGATGCGAATATTCACTTCGCTCTAATCGCTCGAGTTTCACCACGGCTGCCAGCTGTGTTTACTCGCATCATTCAAACAAGACGCGCTGGCTCGGGAGCTACAACTACAACAAAATGAACATATTTTACCGTGATTAAATTGTAATACACGTTTCTAAATGATGCCGAAGTAACAACATACTGATACCGGTTAGTAAAAACCATGAATTAATGCTTGACAAGTCTGCAGGCGGAAAGCTTTTAAAATGCTTGTTTTCTGAATGGAGATTGGGTCGACCAGGCTAAGCTAACGTTGTATATGCTCAGTCATTCCACACTCATAACAACGGCCTACAGACATAAATAAACCAGCGACTGTATTCGCCATGACACAGACAGTCTGTGGTTTGTACTTGTTTAACTTTTGTCCAGTTTCTGAACAGATATGAGGAGCTGTGATCACTCTTCTCTCTCTGTAGTTTTACATCGTTCATTAAGGCTGTCTGACTGATCCCTGTCTGCTGAAAGTCACTTTAAAAACTAACGTTTGTATTCCAGCTGCTTGTTGGTTATTAAACTAATAGTAAAAACGCATTTAGGCTAAACTTAACTAATCATATGCGTTTTTGCTGTAATATCATCTGGAGCTTGATGGTTCTTGTTAACATCACAATTGTGTACATGTGTAAGGTCCTAAATAAATTCAATAGAAAACCATTAAAAACACAATGTGTCCATCTCCATTACTGTCACATCATGCATTTATTCATGTGATAAAACTGCTGCAATGCTGCTTATTCTGCTATTAGAGTCAAATTACATTTAAAGAAGGCTAAAAACGGCTTAAGGCCCGGACACACCAAGCTGATTTCGGCCGTCGATAGATGTCTCGCCGTCGATGAGCGTCCTGTCGCCCTACTCAGATTGGTGTGTCCCGCACCGCCGTGTCTTTTCGGCCGTGCGGACACTGTCGGCAGAAGAACCAACTCTGATTGGCTGTTCAGATTGCTGTGGTAGCAGCGGTACTTTAAGGTTGCCAGCCACAATGCTTAAATAGTGTCTTTCTGCTTCAGAGAGCTGAAGTGGAGGAGCTGATTTAAATTACATTATATACTGCTGGGTAGCTTGTGAAATTCACCATGGGATCAATAACATTTGATCCTAACTGAAGAGTTTATCGCCGGCCACAGAGGGTAGCGTCACTGCTGTCGCTGTCCGGATATGCCGTGCTCTGACCCGGTAGTGCCGAGCGGCCATTTTAGTTCAAACATTGTTCATTCACTCCGCCTCGAGTTGAGACGTTCATCCACTCATTCATGTAAGATTGTTTCCACTATTGTTTGGTGTGTTTATATTCTGTGTCGTTGTATATATATTTGTATTGGTCATGACATGCATGGATGTAGTACTTTGTCAGCTTATCTTGCTGCATTGCTCTGTTTCAGGGTGTCGTCATCCTTGTCATTAAACTACCAAAACTGACATTGAGGAGTGTGTTTCTTCACTAACCTATAATAATACATGATAAACTATTTCTTGATTATATTTTATGGTAATCTGAATCTTCAAAGTTACTAAAGTTATCAAATAAATGTAGCGCAGTATAGAGCAGTGGTTCCCAAACTTTTTGTGCCCAAGGCAGTAAAAATCTCAAGGCACACCTATTGTGAAAAATAGCCCTTATAACACGTGTTATCACTCATATCATGTAAAATATCTGTAAATGTGCATAATTATTTACTAATGCCAAATAAAATGTGACAAAGACAACTATATTACGAAATATTTCCGAAATTAATTTGAAACTTTATCAAATTAGGCTTCATCAAAGCAGCAACACACTCATTTAAACCAGACAGGTCACAAAATAAAAAATGAGGCAAAGGAAACTCAGCAGAAATTCAGCACAGAGAACTGTCAATGCAAGGAAGCTGCATTGTCCATGGTCCTGAACTACAAATTATAAATTATAAATGTATTACTTTAAAAAAAGTAATATATTACACTACTTCGTTACTATCTACATAAAGTAACTCCTTACTTTACTCGTTACTTTACTCGCCGAGCACGTACAAACTGCGCATGCGTGAGTGGCAATAACTTTCCTTACCAGCAGGTGGCGGTAGTGTGTATTTGTCATTCAAAACAGGCAACAACCGGAAAACAGAGAAGAAGAACAGACAGTGATATAAACAAACAACTAATAGCGTGTGCGGTAGCTTCACCTTAGCATGTGTTCTTTGCAGGTGTGTGTTGAGGTTTGACCACGTGGTGTTTCCAGCAGTGGATAACAGCTTCTGGCCTGGACACAGTTTGCACCTCACCGTCACATTCCTGTCTATTCTTCGGACGAACTTAAAATAATGGGCATACCTCCACCCCTCGAAAGTTATCGCTGACTCAGCCATGTTTATGCAGCACTGCACGTGGAGATGTGGACGCGCAAGTCGCACAGATTACGTACATATAAACCTACAAAGTACTGATATAGTAAATTAAAAAATAATTATTTTTGTGTAGTTGTATATTGCAATAATAACGTATGGTTGTCACAAAATCCCACGGCACACCCGGACTTGCCTCACGGCACACCAGTGTGCCGCGGCACACCGTTTGGGAACCACTGGTAGCCTATAGAGTACACTATTTGCCTGAATGGGAGTGGAGCAGGGAGGTGTCCTTAGGCCACGGCCACACGAGGACGAAAACGGCTAAACGCATAGGATTAACGCAAACGCAAAAAAGCTTCCGTCCACACGCACTATTCACTGGATAGTGTCTGTCCACACGAGACCGCTCCGTTTAGCTCAAACCGCTGGAGAAGCTGCAGTACATATGCCGAGCCTGTACGTGGCGCTGTAACTTCCTCCACAAAAGCAGCGAAGAAGCATGGTTGTCATGGTTGCCCTTCTGTTTATTCTCCGCGGTGGGGCCGAGGGAACCGGGCAGAGTTTTTCGCCAACGTGTATTAAAGTTTAAATCTTCCGACAAAATTATAAAAGTGCCGGTCAAAGGTCTTCTTTGTTATTTATTGAGCTTTAAAACGAATGAATAACGAATCTATATAATATAATAATAAAATACACGGAGCCTCTCTTTTTCCTCCCTCTCTTCGGACAGTGCGCCAGTGTCTGTTTCATGCAGCAGCTGATCCAGTAATGAGTGACCCGGCCGACAGTACAAATAAACATATTTATAACTAGTTTAGGTAGTTTGAGAGGTAATTAAAATAGCTAAGGGTGATGATCTTACTTGAAGTGTGTGTTTTACTCCGTTCACCGCCGCATCACAGCGGGAGGAGCTGCAGGTGAGCAGAGCTGCGTGTCTCCGTCCTGTCAGATTAGACTTCACTCGCGTTTATGTCCATATCGAGAGAAAGATAAATAATCTGAAGTCAGTGTGCAGTTTACTTTGACGCGGGGGTGAGCAGCAGAGGTGGGGAGAGGCGGGGCTATTGCCTCATCATTATCAGAAAATGATCGTATAGGGCGTACACACGGACCCGTTGGACCCCCCAGAGCGTTGCGTATGCCGTTCTATCCACCTTGGGACCCGTTATCGTTTCCGCAGTTGTTTAGTGCCGTATTCGGTCGTCCTCGTGTGGCCGAACGGTCTATATGACACTAAACAGTAACGCAAACGACCGTTTTCGTCCTCGTGTGGCCGGGGCCTTAAGTAAATGTACTTTGTTACTGTTGTTAAACGTTACGGTTTTTACTCAGTCCGGGCATAAAAGGTGTGTCCTCACACACCACCACAAGGTACTGACAAACTCCCTTCTTCCTATACTACCTCCATTCATCAATTTAACTTTACCCTGTTAGTTTATCCCTTTAGACTTTGATCACAGACCTTAATGAACACACCTCTGAAAACCTTGGGATTCAATACCCGTAAAGCACTGCTGCCGTATTTCAGATCAATCGATCATGGCGACTTCCAATATGACAGAATTCAGCAACAGAGTTATCTTAGGTGCGACTGACCTGTTGTTCTCTCTGGTGTCTCTGCAAGACTCCGTCAGGGATCGATCCTCATCCAAGGAACAGGACGCTGGAATCAATCTGGACTCAGGACTCAAGCTATGTGGGAACAGGTTACATTTCCGTCTGATTTGTCACTTATTCAGTAATAATCAAAGGGACTACATGAACTTTAGTTTCCTCTCACAAGTGTGAACAGGTAGTTTTATTAAAGTTTCACAAGTTATAACACCACACATCAATAAAAAATGAAATGCGTTTAGCTCGAATACATATTATATCTCAGATTTTGTGTTCTTCAGTCTTCTTTTATCCTCTTCTTTCCCGTGGCTTGTCACATGGTTTGACACGTGGTTTGTCACATGCTTTGCGTGCAAGCCGGTGCGCTAGAGGTGTCCTTCTTCGTTGCTGCGGTTAAATGTTCACTTCCCGCAAGGAAATACATAACATGTGTAACATGATGTTCTCCTCGAAAGGGGAAGTGCATAGAAAGTTCATCTCCTCGAAAGAGTAAGTGCGTAGTACAGGTCTTTATGAGTTCCTATGTTTTTAAGGATTGTTGTTATACATCCTGTTTATATTGCTAAAGCGTTAAACTATACGATACATGACTATGGCATTCAGAGTTTTAACACAGTTTTTTTGCATATTCAAGCTTTATATAATAATACATTGTTCCATTTTCTTCCTTTCTTCAACACTGTCTACCGCTGTTCATTGTTCAAGATTGGAATGTACATTTGCAAGACGGTTTCTGCCCCTCTATTGACATGTAACCTTTCATACGTGAGGTTGGCTTCATTCTCCCATTATCCTCCACAATCTGCCTAGAAGTATTTTACTGTTGTAGCTATTCAAGATGGTCCTTTTAACATGTTTTAAATATATACTGTTAGTAGTTAAACCAATGATAATACTAGGGCTGCAGCTGACAGTTATAGGCACATTTTAATTTGTTCTTAACGCTGTGTGATTAAAAGAAATCACACAAATAGCAGGATAGGCACACATATTTGCTATATCTTGCCCCACTGAAAAGGCACTGCACTGATACTGTTAAAAATATTGGCATAGTTCATCCCTGTGCTGCTTGGCTCAAGCTGTAGCATTGGTGGTGTGTGGCAAGTTAGCCAAGTAAACACTTACATATCACATTAAAGAAAAACAGCATGGCAGACTGTTTGAGTAAAGTTCCATCATTTCTTTGTCTGCAAACATTTAGCATTAAGCAGTCCTTGCGTTACCTGAGGATCATTTATGTAAAAGCAGCCTTACAGGAGTAAGAGTTCTGGTAATATGGCCGACACAGCATCATCGCCCTCACCGCTGTGCAGTACAGATTACCCATAAATCCTCTGGACTTGCCGTACACTGCAGGGTCTGTAGCTGCCTGCCACAGTGACCGAACGTCTGTGGCGTGACCGTGCGATGTGATCATGTGGTCATAGATGCAGGGGTGATACAGAGCCTTGCCCTCACCTGAAAAGTACACATGCTCCTGGGGAGAGACCCCCATGGCTTTGGCACAAATCCCCATGAAGACATCGTCAATGTAAATGGAGGAGTTCAGCACCTGAGTGGCCTGGTAGATCTTAGCGGCCACATCTCCTGAAACCACGTACCCCGCTCCAGCCGTGTAGTCCGGGTAGGAAGGCCAGGGGTACAGATCATAGGGGATGTGGTATTTGCTTTCTTTGCGGCGAACTGGAGGGGCTCCTCTATGTACATGCCCCACCCAAAAGTCTTTGACCCCTGATTTATTTCTCAGAAGCTGCCTTAGGTACTTCACCAAATTGGGCATGTGGACGAAGATGTCGTCATCTGCAGACATGAGGAAGCGTGCCTGAGGGCAGTAGTCGTGGACCCAGTGGAACTGCGTGATCAGTTTGGCTGTGAGGTTGTGGAAGGTATCCAAAAAGTCCTGCTGGATCAGGTCTCCGTAGGTCTGGTCCTCCTGTAGCAGTGCTCTCTGCACCCTGGATCTCTGCTTTGTGTCCACACCGAGGGCGAACACCATCCGCATGGTGGCTCCCAGTTCGGACCAAACAAAGCTCTCGTTCCCCCACGTGTCCCTGATGGCTTGGCGCCGCTCAAAGTTCTCTGGCGATGATTTCACAAACAGAAGAAGGAGGACGTCATCCCCGCTTTTCCCATCTCCCCTTGCACATTTCCCTGGATGGTTGATGAGGTACGGGTAGGTCAGCAACACGTTAGTAGAACCATCCTTTCTGTGACGGTTGGAGGTGATGTTGAAGTTAGAGTTGAGGAAGTCGTAGCTGTTGACCAGGTAGCGGTACGTGTAGGATCTCATGTGGCTGACCACATGGTGGTCCAGCTCCTCCCAGCTGACCATCACCACACACAGCCCCATGCATGCGGTCAGCAGCTGCACGAACTGGCACTTGTGAATACGACGGAAGTTCATGAACATCGCGAATACTGTTTTTTGCTGATCTTCCAAACCTGAGATCACCTATTCTCTGGATACTTCTAGACATTTACTCTCGTGGAGCGGTATCTTCTTCTGGCTTTTCTTTAATGGTAGTATTTTATTTTATTTCTGCCTGCCTCTCTACTACTCATTCCATCTATCAAACTGTTTGCCTTAGTGTAGCCTTCACTTTATCTTCTCTAGTCTGTCTCGCCTTAATCTCCTCTTTCATTCTTCTGTCCTACCTGGCATCTCTTCTTTTTGAATGATGTAAAGTCCAGTAGACCTTTGTCAGGCTCCTCATGAGTCTGGGTTCCTCTGTTACTGATCTTCCTCAACTGTGAGATGCAAAAGCTCCGCTCCTTAATGATAATCCGGCTGCAAGCATCTCCAGGTAAAGCTTGGCAACATGCTCTGTCCTTATTTTGTCCTGAGAACTCTTCTCCACTTATCCCTCAGGCTCACATCAGTAAGTCATAGGAACAAATGGTGCGGAGGATATGGAGAGCAGACTGACGGGTGTCACGGTTTTGAGATCTGTGCAGGACTTCCCATGATCACTGAGTTGTCCCTGTTCCATGTCACCATTAACGTGCGTCTTTGGATTTGATGGCTATTTGCTATTTGTTGTTTGTATATATCACGCAGTCTGTCTTCCGGTTGTTGCCTCTTTTGAATGACGAATATACACTTCCGCCGCCTGCTGGTAAGGAGAGTTATTGCCACTCACGCCGTATGCGCAGTGCGTACGTGCTTCTTGGCTGTCGGCTGAAGTCTTTGCGGTGTGTTCCAGTGCGACTTTTTTACCAAGACACAGGAGACGTGAGGCGACACAACAGTCGGGTCCGTCGGGATGTGTTCTTTGGTGTGTCAGGGCCTTTAGTTGAATGCTTGATTCTGATTGGTCAAATGGGACATTTCAGAGGTCAATATAACAGTAGTACAGACCAATGCTAAGCACTATAAAGACTAAAGAGGATCAAGAGAGAGAAAAAGGCTTTACAGAAGTTGTGTCCACATGGTATGGTGACTGGATCAGTGAACACATCCAGACAGATGGAGCACAGAAACTGATCTTCAGTCAGCAGACAGCTGGCAGCAGACATGTCTACACTCTGAGGACAAAACGTGTGAAGAAACACAACTTAATTACATATTGTCTATTTGCCATGTCTATAGGGTTAGGGACCAAACCATACTAAGGCAGTCTGGGGGGATCCTCCCCCGGAAGACATTTTTGAGAAATGACCCCTTAAATTATCTGATGATGTTAGAGGGGGGGGGGGGCTTACAAATATGAGATAATCCATAATCTTCAGTGTGGTTAGCTATGAATCTTCCAAAACTGTGCAACAGTACAGTAGGCCCACACAAACTGCAGAACACTGGTGCTTTGGGAACACTCAAATGATTTAATTCCCATTTAAAATCAGGAGACTAAATACGAACATTATGTATGTGTGTGTGTGTGTGTGTGTGTGTGTGTGTGTGTGTGTGTGTGTGTGTGTGTGTGTGTGTGTGTGTGTGTGTGTGTGTGTGTGTGTGTGTGTGTTACTTACGTGCCAACCCTCCCGATTTCATTGCCCTCTCCCCGGTTTCCTCCCGGGGTCATATTTCTCCCGATTTCTGACAAAATCAGATTTACTCACGACTGTTTCCACTCGGACTTTAATACAGCTACACCATTGTTTGGTTTCCATGGTAGCGCGTCTCTTTAGCAGCGCGCGCAACTCAAAGTTTGAGAGGGTGAGGAAGATGAAAACTGAACAAGAATCGACAACTCGACCCTCTGCTCACTCCTTTCCTGTAAAACACAGGTCCAGCCCACACACATGCTCCATGGTGCCACAGGCATTGCCCTTACAACTACAATAAGCATGTAAATGTTAATCTACAGCTCCGGCGATCCACTAGCACCGGAGTCTCCACCTGCAGACAACTACTGTAGCGTCACCTTGGATACGAGTCCAAACAACTCAGACACACAGGCCAGGGCGCTGACACGGCGCCCTTTGAGCATCAGATCTGACGACGCTGATTGGCTGAAATTATGTTTCGGCGGCATAGTATACAGATAGCAACAGTCAGCTTGTTGGCTGCTGCTGCTCTGGCTGAGGGCTCCTTTCTACCGCCCGGACGAGAGAGGGTAATGATACACGCTGCGGCCAGGCAGGAAACACGTGACTTATCAGTAACTTTAGACATCGTAAAACAATTTTAAACGAGATTTTATTGTAGATTATACATTTTACTGATACCAATTATATAATATTTACCTTGTTCATTAAAAAAAATTATTATTATTTTTTAAAATATATTTTTTAATTTTTAATGACAATCAAACATGTGGTAAGAGGGTGGGCGGCACCCCTAGCGCCCCTATGGGCCGGCCGCCACTGTTAAAGGTCCCGATCACATAGAGACTGCAGGATGCTAACTTTTTGTGCACAATGCACAATTAGCATAAGCTATGTTATTAGCATGAAGCAGCTCTATCTACCAGGGGGTTAAAGATGGCTAAAATGTGCAGTTCAGATGGTGTAGACCAGGGGTGGGCAAATGGTGGCCCGAGGGCATAATTGATAAACAACGTAATTAATAAAAAAATAAAAAATTACTTGTAGTTTTTTTTATTTACTTGTAGTACTGATACCGTCCACTAGACTCCTAGTTACGTTGTGAGCTGCGTACATGATTTCGTTCGGCAGCCAAATACCGCAAAAATAATATAAATAATCTGTGCAGCGTTTGTGTGTATTGTGTTTGTTTCCCGGGGAAACACTGACAAGAAACACCAGCTGTTGTTATGCCTGCTGTGAATTTAAGTTACGGATTGTAATCAAGAAAGCTTGCACATCTTCCAGCGCAGACTGAAAACTCATCTCTTTCGACTCCACTTCGAGCGATAGAATTACTAACAAAGAACTGCTAACAAAGCACTTATATACTAACAAAGGACTGGCTTATCTAAAGCCAGTTGAGTAGCACTTGAAATGTTTGGCTCTATGAAACCTGATGTACTTATATGATTCTGTTTTCTTCAAGGTTGTGTCTTCCTGGTCGAACGCACTTATTGTAAGTCGCTTTGGATAAAAGCGTCAGCTAAATGCAATGTAATGTAATTATGCCGTTACAAGCTTAAAAGTTTGTTTATTTGAAATCATATGAAAACAAACTGTCACGGACCCTGCAGTGTTATCTATGATTACTACGCTTTTCATTAATAAATTCAGCGGGAGGGAGGGGGAGCAGCGCTGAGGAACAGCCGAGTGCGGGTTGACATTCCCCTTATTGTGCGTCAGCAGAGGCTATAAGTGTCTTAGGTTCAAGTTAGACAACTAATGTCTGGGTTAGTCATGTCATCTTAATGGTTCATCTCAATGCAGACACATTATCCGTGCTTTCCAATAGTTTAAAAATAGTTTTATTCCACTGTTAAATAACCTGTTCAATACAAACATGCCACTTGTAAAAATTAAATAACATTTCTGTGAATTTGTTTAGTGAGCTTCTTAGATGTCAGACTTAGTTTATTTGTTAATAATTACATACAATACATGGAATTTGTGTGTGTGTTCCAAGCAGAGTCCTGCACGGGTCTGATTTTCAAGACCCGCTCCCGCCCCGCGACGTGCAATACCGAACCCGCTACCCGCACATATTGCCATAGGCGGATTTTGCGGGGGGGGGCGGGCAGGGGGGGCATTGCCCCCCCCTGGTGGCTGAAATATGTTACTGCATTACTAAGTCTAAAACTGTTCCAATACAAATATTTCGTATATCAATATTTTAATAGATGTAATAAAATGATTGTTACAAAACAAATTTGAATAATATCATGTTTTGTTTTAAATAATTTTATTTTTGAGCAGTCGCATGTTGTGACGTTTGTGTGTGTGTGTGACGTGTGAGGTTAAGGACACAAGTTCCCTCGCTTTTTTTTGTATACAAGTGATTCAGCTATTGTATTACAAGAATTAGCAGTAATGGATATTCAGCGATTTTTAAAACGTCCAATTTCGTCTTGTAAAAGCTTCAACAACAGAAGAGCCACCAACTGAGCCTAACCTTACCAACCAGCAGCCGTCAGAATGTGAAGTGGCAGACACGCAAACAAGCAGCTCTGGATTAGCTAAACCAGATAACGTTAGCCCCACAGCGGAGAGCTCTGGATTAGCAGGACCAGCTAACGTCATTAACCCCACAGCAGGGAGACCACCGGTGCCGGGGCCGTCAATGGGTCATGATGATCTTGGGGAAAAACACAGCTGTCCCAAGCAGCCTATCCGAATTCCCCTAAAAAATGATTGGGAAAACAAAACGATAATTTTCCAAGTACTATTACAAGAACTATCCCTGGCTGGAATATTCAGTACGAATGGATGCCGTCTTCTGTTTTTCATGCTGCAACTTCCAGACTGACAGCGTGTGGAGGATTCCTTTAGAAAGGGCCTGAGTGACTGGAAAAAAAATAAGCAGCAAACTGGAGAAACATGCACACTCTCAGGCCCATCTGAACTGCATGGTTAAATGGGATAACTATAAAGTGACTGCGTCTTCTGGATCTATTGCAGCTAAACTTTCCCGAAGCCACGAAGATTCTGTTGAGAAGAACAGATCTTATTTGTGCAAAATTGTTGATATTGTGAGGCTGTTGTCCAAACTCGGATTGCCTTTTCGTGGGCATCGGGAAGGAAGCGAGTCAGAGTCGCGTGGGAATGTTCTTGAGGTTTGTGGCTTCTTCTCCAAGTATGATTCTGCTTTTAAAAACATGCAGTCCAACTATTTCAATGCGACTAGCCCAGATTTCCAGAACGAAGTCATTGACATATGTGCTAACTTAGTTTGTGCAGAAATTGTAGAGAAAGTGCAGGATACTGGATTTTTTTCTATAATTGCAGATGAGGCCAGGTCTTGCAAAACGGAACAATTATCAGTGTGTTTAAGATATGCAGAGCAGCTTGAAATCAAGGAGCGTTTTTTGTGTTTTATTGATTCATCCAAATGTATACAAGATGCTCCAGTTGGCACTGACTCTGCCTATCGGATCTGCCACCTCAGAGAGAAGTCTTTCTGCAATGAGGAGAATTCGGAACTGGCTGCGGTCAACGATGGGAGGAACAAGATTTTCCTCACTTGCTATTCTTCACATTGAGGACGACATAACTGCTCAGCTGTCACCTGAGGGGATAGTGGATATATATGCGGAACGTGAAAAAATGCGTCTACTTCTGCACTAAGGTAGGACACTGGTTAATAATATTGTAGCGTGTTCAAGTAACCAAGGGATGTAGTAGTTATCAAATAAGTATAAGATGTGCACAGTTATGATACGTTTTACAGTTATGTAATGCACTGTTGTTGGGGGGAGAGACCGCCCCTTCCATATGAGTGTGTGTGTACGGCAGGCATGAGGCGTGCATAACGGGACGAGTTGCGTTCGTATGTGGAAAAGTCATACTCAGTGCGGTGAGCGCTGGCTTTATTGCTACTGTATCCTGTGTATTGACGTCAGTAAAAAAGGTTTGCCCCCCCCAAGCGCAAATGTCAAACTCCGCCTATGCATATTGCCAATTAGTTCCGCAACCCGACCCGACCCGTCGGCACAAGATCCGCAACCCGACTCGAACCCGCAGATATGAGCAGTGAAAACGTGCAATTATTAACACACGCAGTTACATATTTGTCTCAAAAGGCGTGGGATGTTGGTTATTTTCTCCATCTAGGAACCAAAAGCCTCCAGACGTTGGATTTCGCTCTTGAGGAAGTGTTATTGAAAATGCTGTATTCTCTGCTAGAGAGCTTCACCTCAGCCATTTCGAATGTGGCGCTCAGCAGCAGATTGATGCGCTGCAGAGGTTGTGATTATGCGCGGTCCCGCGGGGGAGAGGTCTGAGGGTTTAAACATTAAACTAAATTATTATTATTTTATTTATTGTGCAACACCCGCAACCCGACCCGCATCTTCTTTGTTTTACCCAGAACCGAACCCGGAAAAAAGCGTTTGAAAAAATACCACCCGCGAATCACTTTTTTTTCGCAGGACTCTGGTTCCAAGTGAATCTGTGGCCCCTGGTGGCCAGTACATACATTATGTGGCCCCCACCACCATCCAAGTTGCCCATCCCTGGTGTAGACCAAACAAGCTCTATTCATTTTGGGGGATTTTGCCATATTTGTGTGAGACCTCCTTGCTGAGCATCACTGAAGTTAATACTAGTAAACGTTATCAGCTGTATAAAGGACGTTTAAAGTTTACATTGTATTTTTGGCTGTTGCTATTAACCTAACTGACACATTTCTATCGTATACTATTCTTTATATGGTGAAATGGATATAATACAGTCAGATTCAGATTTTAATCAAACTGTGACTAAATATTCAGTAAGTGATGTCTCTGTAGAGCACTCACCAGAGTGTTGTTGAGAAGAAGCTGCTGGATTCAGTGTTGCTCCTCCTCTCAGTGTAGCTCTGTGAGTGAGCGTGTGTCACTCTCTGGGGAGGACTTTAACTCAGCTTTGTAACAAGAGGAGGTTTACTTTGAGTCTATTCTTCTTCGTTGCTTGAAGTAAACAGCAACCAGACAAAAACAATTACAAACAGACATGAGAAAAGAGGTCAGAGGAAGATAATAAGAGCATCCTGTGTGGTTTGATAAATGGGCTACAGCGCTCCCTTTACAGTCCCTCTACATCCCCACAGACCCTCTAATAACCAACTCACTGTTTCTCCTACATGTAATGTCACATTTCTACTGCTTTCCCTACTTTAAATCATATTTACTGATAAAAATGTATAAAAGCAAAGATGGAAACCTTTTTTCTCCGGGCCACATTCAGGCTTCTCTGTGATTTTGAGTTTTCACAATTATTACAGTAAAATTCTTCTTTCAAATAACTTGTTTTCATTATTCAGATAAAGTAGCCCTTAATCACTTTTCACTACTGGAAAATCCAATGTTTGTTTAATCAGAGTAATGAATTAATGTCTACGCATCTCCATCACTGAGGCCGATGCGATGCGCATCTCAATACGTTGCCACGATACGATACATTAACGATACCTTTGAAACACCAGGCGATGCGATACGATTCACCCCTGTTGCGATACAGTTCAATACAATTTGATTCAACTTTATACGATACGGGGCGATACGATGCGATTCAACACAATGCAAAATAATGATACTTCAATGTGGTACGACAGAGGACTTTTGTTTTATTCTTCATATGCAGCAAATCATAAATTAACAAAAAAGTGCTTTACATATTTGGTACTGCACATCCCATCATGCGGTTTCTTTTTGACCTTAAAAAACTCTCCAGAGTAGGCTACAGTACAAACACCTCACAGTTAAACGACTATGACTATGACGTCGTATTGATTCGTGGCGCACTCATTTTGGGACTCGGGTTTGAGTCCAGCATGAACTTGTTTGTTATTTTCATGTCGATGGACACTGAATATTAAGTTTGAATAGAGGATTCCTAATATTGTTTGCCGAGACCAACATTAATGACCCATCAGCAATTATCCCTGCACATGCAGCAATGACATTTCTGCTGCTATCTTTGCAAAACGAGTTAACAGTCACATCTTATCTGGATGAGTGCTGCAGAATACTGTTTTTATAAGGGATACATGTGTGTGTAGTCTTTCATATTAAACATGATCGCATGATAGCCACAGAAGTCGTAACACACTTTAACCTGGGCGGGTCCCATTTCCCCTGAGCGGATCACAGCTCCACAGATGAAGACTTCTCCACGCTGCTTTCAAACTGTGAGTAAACAACGTGTGCTTCACTTGGAGGCTGTCTGAAGGTATACACAGGTCTCAGATGGACTTGGTATCACATTAAGAACGATATTCAGTGATAAGTCTGGCAACAATAGCTGGTTTAAATGATTTATTCGAGCTCGCAATGTTTTGAACACACATCCCCATTCAACTCGTTTTTCTTTTTGTAGTCCTCGCTGTTCGCGTCCGGATATTGCCATCGTAACCACAACCTCACACACTGGTACTGAATGTGTATCAACATCTTCCTACCGAGCCAAATATACCAAAATATGTATGTAAACGACAGAAGAAGCGATCGAAATGTGTATTTCAGTCGAAGGCCACGCCCCCCACCTCTGTAAACCAGTTGATCGGAAAACCAGTTAATCCGAAACACCGGATGTTGAAACACAGGAAATATGATCAGCTTTTCAAAGAGAGACAGCAGTAACTACAGAGAAGTTGAGAAAGAAAGGGTTATAAGTTAACGGCTGCTGACCCAAGTGTATAACAGTTAAATAGGTTGAACAATCTAAATGTCGTGCCTTTACAGACTATACAAAAAGAGACCTCCCAAACAATCTGAGCTAGGCTAGTTAGCTGTTAGCAGCACGCCTGGCTGTTCCGGTTCTTTGTCTCGTGTTTAGTGAGGCGTTGTGTCTCTGTAGTGCACTCACCAGTATTTCAGAGGTTCTGCTGTTGTTGAGAAGAAGCTGCTGGATTCAGTTGTTTCTTCAGAGAAACAGAGACGCTGTCTGGACCGCAGCTCTGCTCACACTAACTTTTACTTTCGTTCTGTGAAGTTGAAGCTCTCCTGTTTCAGTGTTGCTCCTCCTCTCAGTGTAGCTCTGTGAGTGAGCGTGTGTCACTCTCTGGGGAGGACATTAACTCAGCTTTGTAACAAGAGGAGGTTTACTTGTAGTCTATTCTTCTTCGTTGCTTGAAGTAAACAGCAACCAGACAAAAACAATTACAAACAGACATGAGAAAAGAGGTCAGAGGAAGATAATAAGAGCATCCTGTGTGGTTTGATAAATGGGCTACAGCGCTCCCTTTACAGTCCCTCTACATCCCCACAGATCCTCTAATAACCAACTCTCTGTTTCTCCTACATGTAATGTCACATTTCTACTGCTTTCCCTACTTTAATCCTATTTACTGATACAAATGTATAAAAGCAAAGATGGAAACCTTTTTTCTCCGGGCCACATTCAGGCTTCTCTGTGATTTTGAGTTTTCACAATTATTACAGTAAAATTCTTCTTTCAAATAACTTGTTTTCATTATTCAGATAGAGTAGCCCTTAATCACTTTTCACTACTGGAAAATCCAATGTTTGTTTAATCAGAATAATGAATTAATGTCTACGAGGGATTTGTAATGTCTCAATGTGTAGATATGTGAAGTAGGAGATTAAGAGTTTATTTAATGCATCAAATTTTCAGGTTTTATTTGTATAGCATATTTTTTAAAACGATTTTTGGTCGAGCCAAATTGCTGTACATATAATAATGACCTTACAGTAAGGACACTATACAGTAAATACAACAGCACAGTTTGTACAGAATATCAGTATGAGAAAACGACACCCTCTGACCTTTGACCCTCTGTCCTTAGACCCTCTGTCCTTAGACCCTCACATCGTACAAGGAAAAACTTCCAGAGAAAACCCACAGTTTAAGGGGAACATGGGAGAAACCTCAGGGAGAGCAACAGAGGAGGGATCCCTCTCCCAGGACGGACAGACGTGCAATAGATGCCGTGTGTAAATCCAAGAGATAATACATTTTACAGCATATAGACCGAATGTTAGGAAATGCATGTGTCTGTAATAAGAAGATGAATCCACGAGGATGTCAGCTACAATCCTGTGGAAGCCATCAGGGAGGTAGCATGACGAGACCCAGGCAGGACATGCATTCATGTCATTAGTTTCAGTATCAGACTGGTCATACAGTCATTTCTAAGAAGCATGCATCAGGCTGCAGTTAGTTATAAAACCCACAGGCCTGCCATGAGTTCATGGTAAATCTGTTCTTGTTTATTATATTTACTGCTGTGCATATCTCTGAGATCAAGTCCTTTAAATGCAAATTATGTCATTGTCTTTACACTTTGCATTATGCTAGGACTTCATCAGGTAGGACTTAACACCTTAATAGTTTATCTTCAAAGGGTCCTTTCTAGTCTTAATGGAGTCAAATCTCAGGTCCTCTTTTATTGCACAACACGTGGGTTAAAGCTCTTTGTATTGGAAAGGCCAGCATTGACATCTAGTGGAGTAAAGTGAGAGCTGCACAACAACGTCTGCTTACTCAGGCCCTTTCTCATTTCTCTAATTCCCCTCCTCGACTCCTATCCTTGTGTCCTAGTCCCGCCCACAGGAGATGCGAGCGGAGGAGTTGAGGAGGGGAACCGAGGAGAGAGGAGGGGAAGCAGCAGGAGGTTAGAGAAATGAGAACTCCTCTCCTCTGAGCGGTCATTTTAAAGAGACGTCCATTAATGATGACAGGAGGCACAGCAGCAACAACTGTGTTCATGATGACTTATACATTTACTTTTAATTCATTCACAGTGCGGTGTAATGAGACAATAACAGGCTACAGATGCGGACACATATACACACACACATATATTTATATAAATATATACAATTTCAGATTCAAACAAGTATGAGAGCACTCTCATAATAACGTAACACTATCAGAGATATGACGTGTGGAGTTGCATACTGAACACACCGTCTCAAACTCTCTCATCGACGCTGCATTACTACTAACATTTAGTGTTTAATGACCAACAAACATTAGAAGAATTGTTTGATAAAATATCGTAATAGATGCGCCATCGCCACGTCATCAGAGGACTTCAGAAGAAGACCCGCCCCCGTCGACGCCAACCAATAGATGAAGACTACTATATGATATAAATAAGGATTGTTATATCAATCTTGGACCTAGTCATAGTAACTAGGTATGTTATTGAATTACAGTTTCCAGATAATCGTCTCTTTGCTAATTATTACGTTAAGTCAGCTGACGCCAAGCTCAGAGGAAATGCAATTATTATTATATCTATAATACAGTTAAGTGTTAGTTAATGTAAGGAAGAAATGTATGTGCGTTCATGTGCAAACAGTTAAGTCTTTGTTAAGTGGATAATTCATATCCTGCAAGACTCCTAAAGACGTCATGAGATGATGACCTTTCGACATCTGGAACATGTCCAAGTTTAGGAGACCTGACAATGTGTGTGTGTTAAACATGATTAGGGAACATGTTTGTCATTGCTCTATGATTGCTTGAGAGCAGGTAATGTTTCCCCATTGTTGTTTGGTGGTGCGCAACTAAATAATACTGATTGATTTAAACTATTTCTGTGTTTGTGTTTTATTGATTCCTCTCTGTTTCATTCTTTCCTGTTGTGAGTGCTGGATTTCTTTTATTTTTTTTATTTTGCCTTTATTTATACAGGTGTAGATCTCATTGAGACACAAGGTCTCATTTTCAAGAGAGACCTGTCAGTGGTAACACTACCACACAAAGTTACAGACAGACAGGACACTAAACACAGAGCAACACTAAAATACAACATCATAAAAAAGTAGTCATTAAAATCCATATACAGTCAGATATAGCAGGTGCAAACACCCACAGATGATTTCTCCAGCTTTTTTAAAATGAGTTTAAAATCCGTGATGGGTATCAAAGTGGCCAGCTTAAGTTCCTGCTGAAGTGTGTTCCAGGTCGAGGGGGCAGAGTATGATATGGCTTTTTTCCCAAGCACCGTGCGGACTGAGGGGACGGACAGAGTGATGTAATGTTGAGATCTTAGTCTATAGCTGTACTGGATTGCCACAACAGGATGTTTTAGAGAAATACGCTCTCTCTCATTCATTCTACCGCAGACAGCAAACCGCGCTAAGTGGACTGTGGACATTGAATTTCAGAACCTCAGCTGTGTTCCCTTGTAAAACATACTATATCATTGCTTTACTAAATACTGTTATTACTTTACGAGATACTTCCTGGTCTACTTTTGACTGAAAGAACACTACAGTGATATGTGTCCCTCCTGTTGTACAGACCAGCAGCAGTTTCCAGGAGCTGGTGCTGGTGGAGAAGACGCGCCTCAGTGAGCAGAACTTCTCCGCCGTGCAGAAGTTTGTTGTGTTGGACCTGGGTTTGACTCTGCTGCCGGTCAGCGGGCAGACCGAGGCCTCGCAGCTCATCAGTCAGATCGTGAGTCATAGTTACCTTTTATCTTTTCATAGGATCCCAATCAGCACTAGCTATCCTACCTGGGGTCCACACACACTTACAGTCTAACACACATTTACACATGATAGCCACATGAACACAACATGTGATAATCATGTATGGAAGTAAAACACAGAATGACCAAAAACGTATTAAGCCAAACACGAACAATTCCTCAAAAATGAATAACACACTTCTGCTACAAATGAATATTAGTATTCAATGTTTACTTCAGATTAGCTCCACGTCAGAAATGAGCATGCTTGATGTCTCTCTCCATAGAGGCTGAATCATCATGTTAATCACATAGCTATCATATGCCTCAAACAGTCCTGATGCTCTTCTAGGTAATCACACATCCTGTCATGTTCACAGCTACAGTTGGGATACCTTTGTTATCACGTTACTCTCATGTTGGAAGAGGACATTCAGTATTTTCCCAACACTGTTTCCTCCCATGTGTGTGTGGTGTACTGGGCGGTGATGAAGTCGTGGTGTCGGGTGCTGGTTGAGTCCATCATCACGGACTCAGAGTTACACAGTCACAAGATGGAGGAATAGAAAGCAGTATTCAATGTTTAGTTCAGATTAGCTCCACGTCAGAAATGATCATGCTTGTGTAGGGCTAACTGCAGATACTTGGCCTTAGTAACATTATGTCCACTTTTTCCTCCTTTAGGTATCTTAATTCCTTGGAGGGTTTTAAAGTAGACTACTTTGACATTGTGGTAAGTCTGGTGGGTCACCTGTGCTTCCCATACTGTTACCTTTGTAGTTATCATTGCAACAAGGAGGCCTAATATTCTTGCCATTGATGCTCGGTAGGTATGAAGGTATGAATTTCCTCCTTTTCCTCCTGTGTTTCTTTAGTAAAGGTCGATTGCTATAATCTATTTGTTCCCCTCCAGTGTGGGCTAGGGCCTCTTCTTCACTCCCCCCCCTTCCATCCTTGTTCCTGTTGAACACAAGAGGGGAGGGGTTAGTTTGTCTTAACCTGGTGTTCCTCTTTTCTGCCCTTTCTTCTTCGTGGAGGAGTTAACATCTTATGAGTCCCAGTTTCCCTTTCCTTGGAAATCAAGGCTAGTGTTTCCCATGCGTAATGCTTGGGTGATTGTTTTACCTTGTGTTTGGTGACCTACTAAACTTCAATCTTTCATTCTATGATACTTCCTCCCTTGGAAGTGTTTCAACTTCAGATTTTCATCTAGAGTTCCCTTCTTCCCAAGGGCGGTCTCCCTTCCCACCTTGCCCCTGATTTGGTATGTCCTGTTGATTCCAGGTGGGTCATGCTTAGGTCAGAGGTGTTTGTTCTCAAGGTTTTTTATTTAACTTTGGTTCGTTTTTGGCATGTTATATAATATTATATGATTCTAACCTGAGAGGAAGAACCACGCCCATTTTACACAGGGTAATTTCATTGCCTTTTATCATAAAAATGTTATCCTTCGTTCGAGTGTTTAATCCCTACACCCTGGTTTTTCAGGCCTCTTGTTACCCATACTTTCTGACCTACCGTTAGGTCATTCGTGGGTATTTGTGGTACCCTACTCGGGTCCTTAGTGATTAGTTTTTCCATGCTAATGTGTTCATTTAATAGCAATAGATTATTCAGATCGTCCCAGTGACGTACGTCATTTGCCCGAATCTCCTACGGAATCGTCGTTGAAGTTGATGATGATGATTGTAAAGCACTTTTGAATGTTGCATGTGACGATTGTAAAGTTGGTAGTAAAGTCGTCCCATTTCTTCCATTTCGTTTCGACAGAGCAAAACCAAAATGAGTAGCGCTTCAATACAATCGGCCATTGTTGTTGCTATCAATGTGAGGGGTTTCCGCGCGGTTTGGCTTTATGAGGCAGGCACGTAAACGGTTACGTCATGAAGCAAACGATGACGCAATGACGCAGCACCACACGGGCTCTGGGCGGTGTGAACAGAGCGGGGGCTGAAAAGAAAAACCGGTCCCGATCCAGAAAAGCTCTAGCACGGAGCTAGAACGGGAAAAGCGTTGGTGTGAAAGGGGCATTATTCTCCGTGGTTCTAAACTTTACTTTAGCGTCTGTGAGCATAATTTTCCCCATCTAGAGGCTAATGCTTTACTACCCTCTGTAGTGTGTTTTGAGGCCTCTGCTATAATCAGGGTGTCTGTCACAAACAATACTGATTCTGGGGCCCCAACATTGACCAACATTGGGTAATGTCTTGAACATAGTCTTAATTCCCTCTCTACATCTGGGTTCCTACGGTCCTATGATTTTCCGGAGGTGCCGGGGTTGGCGGGGTGGTGGTGGTGCTGGTGGGGTTTCAGGTGGGCCGCTTGGTAGGTTTGCGTTTCCCTCAGGGATGTTTCCCGTTGAAATTCCCTCTTGGGGTGTTCTTGGGACCCCTATTGGTCGGAGCAGTGATCACCCTATTGGCCCTAATGCCCTTATTGGACTTTCAGCCCCTCCTGTTACTACTACTCTGCTTCCCCTTAACATGTTTGTTAAGAGTGAGTATGGACTTAAGCTTTCCTGGCTATGACTTAGTATTTTGCTGGGCCATTTCTGGACCCAGACGGTTTATTAGAGACAGCCTCGCTGTGGTAAATAACGGGGTTGGCCCAGGCCTCCACCCTGGGTTTGTTAGCCCTATTAGATTTTCGCTCCTTGGTGCTGGATCTATTGGTGTGAACCCTTGGTTTATCCCTGGCTATGAATTGTACGGGGGTGGCCTTGCTGTCGGGGCTACACTTTTACGTTTTGGATATCCCATATGTAGATCATCCATAAGGAGCGCTAGTTGTGGGTCGAATTCCCTTACATCTATGTTTAGGCCTGACTCCAGGAAGTACTGCTTGTACTGTCCTGAAAGGAGCCAGCCTTATGCTGCCCTTGCGTACCCTTCGTTTTTGTGATAGCGTTGTCTATTTTTTAACCAATATTATAGACCCGTTATCTGGTTTAGATATAGTTTGAACTGCTCGAACGTGCCCCACGTTGCTTGTTTGAACGCTGTGTTTCTCGCGAACACGAACGCGCACATGACCAATGAGGGCACGAGATAAGTTTGTGCACAGATGGAAGGCTGACAGGCAGGTAGGCCATCCAGTTACTTTAGCCGGGCCGGCTCAGATGATTGGTCGTGCTTTTTACAGCGCCACAGCTTCCACAGATGATATTTTTGCATGGATTTTTTGTCAAAGCACTTCAGATATTCATTGCTATCGGGATGTTAAGAGCATTCCATGGAATATAACAAAAAGTGTATCTCGAGCCGGTTTCTCAAACTTACCTACCCCACCTTTAAGAACAAATACAGCATAAATATATGATTAAAAAGGCATTTAAAAACAGGCATAATAAGCAAAGGTAATGAAATAAATAAAAATAAATAAACACAGCAGGTACAGAATACATGACTAAAAAGGCATACTGTAGTGTGAGCATGGGCAGCATGCAGCAGTATGTTTAGTGGTTATTCTCGGAACAGAGAACAGACCCGACCCAGAAGACCTGAGACTCCTGGATGCTTCATAGTGATGGAGTAGGTCGTCTATATACCTCGGTCCTAAGCCATTTAGTGATTTAAAAACTAGCAGTAGTATTTTAAAATCAATTATTTGGCAGACTGGAAGCCAGTGTAATGATCTCAGAACCGGACTGATGTGATCCACTTTTCTAGTGTCAGTGAGGACTCGAGCAGCAGCAGCGTTCTGAATCAGCTGCAGCTTTCTGATTTTTTAGTGAGCCCTGTGAAGACACTATTGCAGTAGTCGAGTCTACTGAAAATAAAAGCATGGACAAGTTTTTCTAAATCCTGTTGCGACATGAGTTTTTTAATCCTTGATATATTCTTCAGGTGGTAATATGCAGACCTAATAACTGTTGTAATGTGACTGTTAACATTCAGGTCTGAGTCCATCACTACACCCAGATTTCTTGCTTTGTGAGTTACTTTGTAGCCTGCCGACTGAAGCTCTGTGATTACTTTTAATCGGTCCTTCTTTGCTCCAAAAACAATGATCTCAGTTTTTTGTTTGTTCAATTGGAGAAAGTTCTGAGTCATCCAGTCAGTGATGTGCTCAATGTTCTAATCGGAGAGTAGTCTCCCGGTGTAATTTTGAAATAAATCTGGGTGTCGTCTGCATAGATGTGATAGCTTAGATCGCTCTTTTTAATAATTTCAGCCAGAGGTAGCATATAAATATTAAAAAGCAAAAGGTCCTAAGATGGAGCCTTGAGGAACACCGCATGACATATTTATCAGGGTTGATTTGTAATTGCCTATTGAGACAAAGTTTGTTCTGTCCTTCAAGTAGGAGCTAAACCAGTTTAGAGCTGTTGCTGAAACTCCCACCCAGTTTTCAAGACGGTCTAGCAATATGTTGTGGTCAACAGTATCAAAGGCAGCGCTGAGATCTAATAATACTAACACTGATATTCTGCCACTGTCTGTGTTTAAATGGATGTCATTTAAGATCTTAACAAGTGAAGTCTCAGTGCTGTGGTTAGGTCGAAAGCCCGACTGAAACACATCAAAACCGTCAGTTAAAAACATGAAATTACTCAACTGTTGAAAAACTGCTTTTTCAGTCAAATTGCTTAAAAAGGGAAGGTTTGATATTGGCCTGTAATTATTCATTATGGTTTTGTCTAGGTTATGCTTTTTTAGGAGCGGTTTAATTATTGCAGTTTTCAGGGCCTGTGGAAATACACCTGATTGAAGAGACTTGTTTAATATGTGTAGTAGATCTGAGGCCAAGCAAGGAAAAACAGTCGGGATGATGTCGAGGCAGCAGGAGGAGGATTTCAGATGTTGGATAATGTCTTCCAGGTCTTTAGCATTTATCAGACGGAATTGTGACATGGTGTCTGAATTGGCTTTAGGTGAACACAGGGACAGTACATTGGCTGTACCTGAAGCAGAGGCACTGACTGCCTGTCTAATTTGCATGATTTTGTCAGTGAAGAAGGCAAAATCATTGCATGCCCTGGTGGATAGAAATTCTGAGGCTACTGACACTGGGGGGTTTGTTAGTCTGTCGACGGTAGCAAATAAAGCACGTGAGTTGTTTTTATTTTTGTTAATGATGTCAGAGAAGAACGATTGTCGTGCCTTTTTTATTTCCTGATTATAGACGCAGAGTTTCTCTTTATATATTTCCAAGTGAACCTGGAGATTAGTTTTTCTCCACCTGCGTTCAGCTTTTCTGCACTCAGTTGTTTCTGTTCTCACAGTCATGGCTTTTCGCCATGGAGATTTTTCTTACCAGATACTTCCTTTATTTTAATGGGAGCGATGGTATCCATGACATTTGTTATTTTAGAATTAAAATGATCAACTAGCTCATTTACTGAGAAGTTAGCATGGGCAAGTGAGGGAGTAAAAATCTGGGCAAACATTTCCTCTGTATTTTCAGTTAAGTGACGTCTAGCGGTTACCTCTTTCTTAACAGTTGTATGGACGGTAATAGAGCTCTCAAAGAAAACACAGGAATGGTCGGAGAGCGCAACATCAGTCACCACAAGCTTAGAGATGTTCAGACCCTTTGATACAATTAAGTCCAGGGTGTGCCCCTTATTGTGCGTCGGACCCTTGACATGCTGAGTCAGTCCAAAATGGTCGATAACACAAAACAGTTCTTTAGCCCCTCTGTCCTCAGGGTTGTCAACATGGATATTAAAATCGCCAACAATGATTAAACGGTCAAAGTCAATACACACTATAGACAGCAACTCGGTAAAATCATCAAAAAAGCTTGCACAGTATTTGGGTGGTCTGTAGATGTTTAGGAAAAGAGCTTGAAAGGAGCATTTCAACTGAAGGGCCACATATTCAAAAGAAGCAAAGTTTCCATACATAGTCTGCTTGCATTGAAATAAATCATTAAACAGAATAGCTACTCCACCCCCTTTCTTATGTAGTCTGGCCTGACTCATATAATTAAAGTTGGGAAGAGTTGATTCTATAAGAACAGCTGTGCTGTTGTTTTGGTCTAACCAACTTTCAGTTAAAAACATAAAATCCAGGTTGTGCTTGGTGATAAAATCATTGATTAAAAATGATTTACCTGCTAAAGACCTGACTTTTAATGTGTTAAGCCAGTTTGAGTGTTGTTTGACATACCACCACTCTGACTGTTAACGATAGCACGTGGAATCACTTTTCACAGCTCCGTAAAAGAATAAAAAGTTTCTTAAAATCCTTTTTTGTCAGCTCCGACTGCTGGCGGGCTGTATCGTTAGACCCCACATGGACGATTAGACGATTGACAGAAGACGGGAGTGAGTGCAGCAGCCCCGGGAGTTTCTCCAGGATAACCGGGACGGTGGCTCCAGGGAGGCAGCGCGTGGCAGTGCTGAAAAATCGGATGTTTCTGATTATGGAATCCCCGATTATTAATGTGGTTGGGGCGAACAGGGGACGAGGGGGTGCCGGTGATTGAGGATGTGGTGACCGAGCAGAAATAGCTGGTCTCGGAGAGCATTTTCTTGCCGGCTCAGGGCACGAAAAACTTCCCGAGTGTCTCAGCACGGCCTCTTTGAGGAGTCTACGACGGGATGAGGGACGCCGAGTTGGACTCCCACAGTGGCCTGGGAAGCAGCACAAATGCTGTCGGCTGCCGGCGCAGAAAGTTGCAGAGGCGGCAGGGTGCAGATCTGGACGGGTCGGGGTGCCGCGGGAGCATCAGCTGGACGGGCCGGATCATCTGGACGGGTCGGTGCCGCGGGGAGCATCAAACTGGACGGGCCGGATTCATCTGGGCGGGTTCAGTGCTGCAGGGGCATCAACTGGATGGACCGGATTGTCGTACAGGGCCGCGAAGCGGTTCCGAAGGCCCAGGCGAGGTGGTGAAGTTACACCATTCAAAAAGCTCTTGCGCACCACTTCAGACCACGACTGCTGGTGGCCAGGTGTCGAGCAGTCGGAAGGCCGAAGGATTCCACAGAACTGTGTCATGGGAAGTTGCACTGAACGAGGCAAGATGTTTAGACCGATGCTACCTTCATGAGACCGGACACGAGAGACTCTTTTTCTTTCAGCTCGTCAGAAAGCCGTGGGATATCCTCCTTAAGGTCTGTTATCTGTTTCTTTGCTCTTTGAAGTAGTACATCATACTCAGGGTGTTTTGATGGCATTCTTGAGTGTGAAAGGTTTAGGGCAATTACTGTCCCATGCACCAATGCCAAACTGCGTCAAGATGTTGTATAACAGGGATGGCTAAATGTTTGTAAGCAGGAGAGCTAGATGCTAACAGATGCCAGATGCTAACAGGTAGTGGGAGCCTGTACAAATTGTGACTGCCTCTATGCGCGTCTCTGTCTGGTCGGGCTGGCGCTGTTCCCAGAGTGACTAATGGGGGTCCGGGTGAAATCATTTCATTATATTCACTCGGTACTGCCTCAGACCGTAATCCAAAAATGGATCCGGTTTGGGACATCGTTCCTACTGATATGGTTTTTTAATAGTCTACTGCTGGATCCCTAAGGGTGGTAATGACCCTCCCCGTCTTCGTGTTGTAATATTTTCGGTTACCCTTTGGTGGGGGCCCTATTTATATTTTTAGCGGTAGCTCCCCTACTCTCAGTATTTGTCACAATATTATACAGGTATAGTTATTCCCCTCTGTTCGGTTATAATGGTACTGCTGTCTCACCTCCTATCGGAAGATTTACTTGTTAGTTTTTACGCTTGAGATTTTTTAACGGAACGTTACACTCCTTTTTGTTTATATTTTAGACCCGTTATCTTCTGTACTCTTCCTTTAATTTCTTTAGGCTCTACTCGCCTTTGTTCGTCGTGGCAAGGCACTCTGTGATCAATAAGGTTAGCTCTCGGAGGACTCAGTTGGACTGAGGCTCTTTGTACAGGTTGTTAAGTTTAAGTTCGTGCTCTGGCACTTTCCTCGCAATTTTCGGTTTGTTCAATTTTGAACGACACAATTTTGAACTGCGCGATCGTGCCCCGCGTTGGGCGCCATGTAAATGATACGGTTTTTAGTCAGTCCGGGCATAAAAGGTGTGTCCTCACACACCACCTCGAGGTACCGATAAACTCCCTTCTTTCTATACTACCTCCATTCATCAATTTTACATCATTTAACTTTACCCTGTTAGTTTATCCCTTTAGACTTTGATCACAGCCCTTAATGAACACACCTCTGAAACCTTGGGATTCAATACCCGTAAAGCACTGCTGCCGTACTTAAGATCAATCGATCACGGCGACCTCCAACATGACACACAATTCTGCAACAGAGTTGACTAGGTGCGACTTACCAGCTGTTATATCTGGAGACTGTAGTCTTCCGTCAGGGATCGATCCTCATCCAAGGAACAGGAATCAATCTGGACTCAGGACTCAAGCTATGTGGGAACAGGTTACATTTCTGTCTGATTTGTCACTTATTCAGTAATAATCAAAGGGGCTACATGAACTTTAGTTTCCTCTCACAAGTGCGAACAGGTAGTTTTATTTAAAGTTTCACAAGTTATAACACCACACATCAATAATAATGAACTGCGTTTTTGCTCAGATATATATTATATCTGCTCCGTCTAGGTTTTCCCCACTACTAGTTAGTATCGGGGTTTCTTCAGTTTTCTGCAAGAGATGCTGAGTTCAAGAGGCACTGCTAGGTCTGCTGATACTAGATCAGGATCAGTGATCCGTCTTGCCATACTACTAATTAGCGTTGGCCAGTTGGTTCAGTCTTTTGCAAGAAGAACTGAGTTCAAGAGGAACTGATTTCCAATGTTCTTCAGTCTCCTTATATCCTCTTCTTTCACGTGGTTTGTCACATCCTGTGCGTGCAAGGTGCGTTAGAGGTGTCCTTCTTTGTTGCTTTGTGGTTAAATGTTCACTTCCCGCAAGGAAGTGCATAACAGATGTTCATCTCCTCGAAAGAGGAAGTGCATAACAGATGTTCATCTCCTCGAAAGAGGAAGTGCGTACTTTGCTACATAGGTCTTTACCCATGTAAGGATTTCTGTTATACATCCTGTTTATATTGCTAAAGCGTTAAACTATACGATACATGACTATGGCATACAGAGTTTTAACACAGTTTTTAACATATTTAAGTTTTATATAATAAAATACATTGTTCCATTTTCTTCCTTTCTTCAACAACTTTTACTTCTGTGATATCTTGTATTTGATCGTCTACAATGTTGATGTGTTCTAAAGTAGATGTGGATCCCTCTCCTTGAGGAATTGTTGATATCTCTATACTCTCTCTGCCTGTATTAACTAAATCAATGACATCTGATCCAGGTTGGCACACTTCTGTGGGCGACATTTGATTGACCAGAGTTATATTTTCCTCCAAAAAACCTTTAGCAGGAACATGATTTTCCTGCTGTTCTGATTCCACTGAGTTTTGTTGTGGGACATCGGATTCTGTGGTTTGACTTACCATATCTGTACATTTGTTTGTTGGAGCTGTTTCTGATGTTTGTGTAGGACATTCTTGGATACCCAATTTGTCTTCAAATGCAGTTTGGACCATCCTATCAGGATCCTCATCATCAAGTGTTGTCTCGAGAGGCATCGATATGTAGGGGACATCACGCTTTCCCTCAACCATTTCATAATTCATGTTCTGAACTGGATCCTTCAACTGATTTTATATCAACACCTCTTCGTTTGATGGATGGGTTTCAGCTGAAATGATGGTATTTACAACTGTTGCAGTCTTGTCTTCCTTTGGTGAATTAATTCCTGAGGCTTTTAGAATACCACTGGTATCTGCTGTTTGCTGCAACTGCGTAGTTTCTTGGTACTGGTTTGTACTGACCTGCCTAATGCCAACTTGAGTCACCCCAGGTTGCCACAGTCCAACCTGTCTGACCTCTGGTTTCACTGTCATCACATGTGCCATTCCCATTCCTGATTTCCCAACATCAATTCCAAAAGCTGTTCCCGGCACTAACCCCATCACTCCTGGCTGCCCAACCCCTCTTTTACCAGGATTTGCACCTCTGGGCAAATTGCCCTGAGACGAGCATGGGTCAACCTCACCTGCATCATCTGGTCTACTCTTATCTTGAACTAACATGTATTCACCATCGGGATTTGGCCTTATCATTTTCCAACCCTTTGCAGGGCCTGAGCCTGTAGACACACCTGGACTACCAGGTAGAAAGAAGGTGGGGCTAACTGGACTGGCAGGGCTTTTTGGGCCCTCAATGCCCTGAATCACTAGCCCAGGAGGAGAGCCTTGGGGCCCACTGACTACATACAAGCCTTGACAATTAGCTCCATGGGACCCCTCTGCTAGCATAACCGTGTTCTGTAGCTGTGGTTGAACTACATAGTGCATGGGCTGTAGTACAGGGTTGGTGGCGTAATAAACTGGCTGTATGAAAACTGTACGAGCTTGATGGGACAGAGTGGCAGAATGATGAGCTTGATGGGGCAGAGTGTTGGAATGACTGATGTTAGTAACCTTAGAGTTAGGAAGTGTCATGGATTGATGGGCAGTGCTTCCAGTATTGACGGATGATTTGGAGATGTTAGTAGATGACATGACTGTCTCTTTCTTGACATCAGTATGATCTGTTTCAATGCTTCGCTCAACTTTGGGCATAACAACAGGTTCAACCTTATTTACTGTGGTTTGGACAGCACCTACTATTTTGTGTGTCAGGGAAGGTGTGGGTGTTGGTTTAGGAGGGGAGCAGATATCAGACAGAGTCTTGAACTTTGGCCCAAGGTCATCGAGGAATTGCAGGTCGTTGTTAGTTTCCAGGGGGCTGCAGTAGTCCACAGATCCAGCAGAGGATCCCTGGCCCTCAAAACGATACTCCAAAGAACAGTCCTTCGCAGGCAAAGCACACATCGCTTTCTGTTTAGGGTAAAGGAATAGCACAGACACTGGTGTCATTAATTTCGGAACATTTCTTTAAAGGTGAAATTCTGTAAAAGAAAAAAAACAGCTGAATGCAAGGCTAACAACGTACCTGTGAGTAGTAATCATTCAGGAAAGCGTCAGGTAAGGCTATATGCTCATAGAGAGCTGTTGTGTGAGCTCTCGTGTGTTGTAGTGTGTTTATGCTGATCGTTGCGCTGCCATAACCATAGCCAAAATCCCTGTGAGAGTTGTTGTCGACCTCCATCCAACTTTGCCTGGTGTCCCGAAACCTTTCCAAAAATTCATCATGGATTGTCTGGTTATTTTTTATAGTATTTGTAATAGTGCCTTTGGAATTTGATCCTTGTGCTGTCCCAAATGTCTTTTGGGGAGCCAAGGATAGAGTTATACTATGGAGTGGAACTTCCTGAAAAAAGAACAGGAGAATGACAATGTTATCTCAGAAACACATATAGGTTTAGCAATATTAGACGGGGTTAAACCTTCCTGTTCGTCCCCTTTCACCAACATTGCCTCTTGATCTCTATACAGACGTTCATTTTCAATAATATTAGGATATTGTCTGATTCTCTGTATTGATAAACTAAAAATAAGTATATGTATACTTTTCTTCCCAATAAAAAACAACAACATTGCAAGCCAACCTTATCCTCGCCTCTGCCTTCAGTGTGGTAAGACATGAGTTGCTCTTTGGTCTCCCATGGCATGTCAAGAAAACTGTCTGAAAAAAGTTCTGCTCCACACTGACAGAACAGCACGAGAAGAGGAATAACTGCAGAGAGAAGCATTCAGTTCAATGTTAAGCCAAGTTCAGTTGAGCTCAAGAGTATTTAATATTAGCAATGTTATTCATATAAGAGTGTTAAGAATACATCTAAAAACAGAGAGTTGGGAATTGGGAGTAACTTTCATATCATTTTTTAAGCCATACTTATTTGGGGCACTTATTCAATTATCAATCAATCAATGTTTATTTATATAGCCCAATATCACAAATATTACATTTGTCTCAGTGGACTAATTATGTTATTCAGTCCAATACATCACCCCACCACTGATGAATGTATGCCCCCTTGTATATAAATCACACTGTCAGTACGTGTTTCTTGTAATTCAATGCATAATGGTTTGATTTTCATGAAATACATTCAGGGCCGGACTGGGACAATAAGTCAGGCCGGGAATTAAACCCGGCCAAGCCACTACCAGTTTTTTCTGTGCCATTTTGCTGGATTTATTTGTGAATATTTACAGCGGTGCTGCCCATAGTGATAGCACTATAGTTTAAATCTACTAGCCAATAATAAACATATGGAGATGGATTACTATTTAAAAAATTTTGCAAATGTATTTTATCGACCCATCCGTAATAATCCCTAATAAGGTGTACTGTAGGCATTTGTTAAAGATCAACTTACACAGCAATAAGCACATTGCCAATAGCAGGAGGCTGATAGCTGGGGCAGAGAGCTCGGTTGAAGTAGTTTCTAATTTGGCTGCCTTTATCTTGCAGTCTTTTGTCTCCACACAGGTACACACGTCCACGGTAAAAATTTCATTGGATGGGCAAGATAGACCTTGAGCATCCAACACCTCCACCTGAACCTCATATAAGCCAGGCCAGAGTGGATCATGAGAGTGAAGCGCGGCACTCGTCTCTGTTGACAACAAAGGAAAAAGCACTGTTAAGATCATTATTACTTTAGCTTGTAACCTCAGTAATATTACAGTTTAGTGATACTAAAAGAATATAACCACACAAATCACAAATAACGCTAAAAGATAGAAAATCGTTTGTATCAGTTTTTTTCTTCTGCCTCCAACCACTTTTTCTTACTATTGACGACTTCTACGTCCCAGCTCCCTCGTGTCCCATCAGGTATGACTCTGAATGTGAATGGAGCTCCGTTGGGATCAATATCCTCATCAAATGCAGTAACATAGACAGTTGTGTCATCAGTGCACTGGGTGCTGTGGGTGGTGGTCAGAGTGGGACAGTGGTCGTTGGAGTCAAGGACTTGAATGGCTATTGTTCCTGTGGCGGTCTTTGATGGCCTGTCTGAGGATGACAACCGTTTAATAAATCCAACAGCACAAAGACTGGAGTGCATAACAGCATATTATAATATAAAATAAGAAGTACTTTATTGATCCCAAATTGGGAAATGTTTGCGTTTGTACATTGGAGAAAACCTTAACGTCCTAGTATAATTCCATATTTATATTAATAGTGTCTGCAATATTTTTTATGGAGGTCTGTTGTGTTGAGTTATTGAGAGTCCTTCAGTACAGAAAGACAGCGCCTATTCAAACAGAAATGAATCAAGAAGCCAACACGATTATGAAGTAAATAGGGGATTACCATCTGTGATCGCCAGAATCTTGGCAATGTAGGTACCATTCACCACAAAAGGTGACTCTCTGTCTGGTACCCTGTTGAGTTTAATCTCAGCTGTTTTTTCATCGATGGTAAACCAGTTTTCTGGATCAAGGGCTTTGGCATAACTAGGAACAAATAAGTAGGAAAAAAACCAAAAACATTAACATAAGTAATATACAGTAAACCAAAGAAGGAGAAGAAGAATTTGGTTAAAGTAATACTTTCAACATTTGGGGAAAAACACGTAATTACTTTATTGATGAGAATTATCACCTTCCGGCGCAGACTGAAAACTCATCTCTTTCGACTCCACTTCGAGCGATAGAACTATTAACAAAGCACTTATATACTAATAAAGGGCTGGCTTATCTAAAGCCAGTTGAGTAGCACTTGAAATGTTTTTGCTCTATGAAACCTGATGTACTTTATGATTCTGTTTTCTTCAAGGTTGTATTTTGTTGGTCGAATGCACTTATTGTGAGTCGCTTTGGATAAAAGCGTCAGCTAAATGTAATGTAATGAATTATGTGTTTAAGTATGAAGCTAAAGCCAGGAGACAACTAGCTAAACTAAGGACATAGGGAAGTCAACTGGTCAAGTCAAATAGAACCTCTGAGATGGTAGAAATGGCAGAGGAAAGGGATATTCACTTCAACAATTTGTCTTGATGGAACAAATGATATCTAGCTACAGAAAAACTGAAGTTTCTTTTCTTGTCGCATTCGCGTGTTTAATGTTTCAGAAAGCTGCAGAACATAAGAATTGCAAGGTGCTGCAAATGTTAACACGTTTTTATGCAAGTCTTTGTTCCGAACGAAGCATTGATGTGGTCATCTCCTTACTTATCATATAACGCCACCATTAGTTTGATAGACATCGTTTTGAGTGGTATGGTTTGAAAACTATTGGGTCATCATCACCAAGTCAAAATGTTAATTGGGTGATTGTAAAGCAAATAACTCAAATGTTAGCATGCTAAATTGCTAAACTAAGATGGTGAACATGGTAAATTAGTGGTTAAAGTAATGTTTCCTGCAGCATGACTTACTTGACATCTTCAGCTGGTAGCCCTGTGTCTGGATCGATAGCAGCAAACACTGTGATCACTCCATCTTCGGGTGCTTCATTTGGATCTTCTGATACAGGAACATTCTTGGTGGTTGGAATGAATGCTGGATCCTCTGGAACGTTTTTCACTGCTATCTTAATGGAATAGCTCTTTGGCTCAGGCTTTGTTTCTGGTTTGACACCTGGCTTAATACCGACACCCACTCCAAGCCCAAGCCCAACCCCAACATCTGGCTTAAGTCCAGGTCCAGCCCCGCCTCCACCTCCACCTCCACCTTCACCTTCACCTCCACCTTCACCTTCACCTTCACCTTCACCTCCACCTTCACCTTCACCTTCACCTTCACCTTCACCTTCACCTTCACCTTCACCTCCACCTCCACCTCCACCGCCGCCTCCACCTCCACCTCCACCTCCACCTCCACCTCCACCTCCGCCTCCACCTCCACCGTCGCCGCCGCCTCCGCCTCCACCCTCCACCACCCGCTCCAGTAGCCATAGGATTACCCTCTCCAATCTGGACCTCCACATCCATTAATACAGCACCACCCTTCACAAAAGGAGCTACGTTTGTAATGATCAGGCCAAGCTCAAGATTCTGGACATCTTCAAAATCCACAGCCTGTTTGGACCGGATTGTAGAGGAAAAAGCAATTGAGTGAAAGGACAAGAACAGATACGATGCAGCAAGCAAATGTTAGGGCACCACTCAACACTTGTTACAGTAAGTGTGATAAATAAAGTACAATGGTGTTAAAGTCACATAAATACCTTCATCAGCTTCAAGACGCCCTCATTGGTTTCCTTGTCCGTCTCAATTGAAAACAAGTTATCCTCATTTCCTTTGGTGATTTTGAAGACAGTCAGCCAGTTGTCTGAGTGTCGAAGGTCTTCATCAATAGCTTTGATTCTCATCACAATCACATCGGCAACATTTTCCTCCACTTCCCCATCGTACTGCAAACAGAAAATATGATTCGAAAAATTAGATCAACAGTATGTGTCAAAGTCTTACTGTCAGCTATACTGTTTACAGAACTGGTGTTTTTTGCTTGATGTTTCCAGTTATCATCAAAGCATCTACTCTTCAGAGGTAAAAGGCAACCGATAGGGTTTGGGGAAAGAGGCCAGTTCACGATCGCTCTCCACATATATGATGAGACGCATGTTACCATGTGTCTCATCATAGTTGCAGAGGCCAGTGGCTATGTTTTACATCGCTATACTTTTGTCTTTTTGTCTTCATTTGAGGAGCACGAATGAACAATGAAAGAGATACATTCATCAACATAAACAAAGGAGGTGTGGGGACTGAATTAAGTGCAGTGGACTTGACAGCACTAGACTAGACTTTGTACTAAACAGCACCGAGGAGTATCAGATATCTGTTGCATAAAAACTGAACGCTGCTGCTTCTCATAATGTGACCACTAGTGTGCCCTTAAGTAGAGTAAGGCGCTTAGCCCTTAGTTACTCCATGGAGAATGTCCCTGCAATTGGTAATTGTTAGGGGTGTAACGGTATCCGTATTCGTCCCGTCACAGTTCGGACGTCACGGTTCGGACGTCACGGTTCGGACGTCACGGTTCGGCACATGCAGTCACACGACGAATACGCCTTTTTTTACGAGTGTGAAAAAGGTCTGTCATTCAGGGCAGTATCCATTACACTATTTATAATCCAGGGGGCGGTATTGCGCCTAAAAGCTGTTTGCCAGCCGCCCTTAAACAACAAATGAAGAAGAAGAAGAAGAAACACAACAAAACAAACAAAATACAAGAAGAAGAAAAGTTAGTTTGGTGATTTCAGATAACACACAGGAGCTAGAACCACCTGCTTCTTTTAAATCAGCTGTGTGGGAACATTTCGGGTTCCCTGTGGACTACAATAACGGCCCGTCCACACAGCGGCGTGCGTTGAAGCTTCCAACGCTTCTGCCCATTCACTTTGAATGGGGTGACGTCACTTTTAGCCGAACTGCATTTTGGGAAGCGACGTGGAGCGTTGCTGGCGTAGCTGGCGTCAAAAGTTGAGCAATGTTCAACTTTTGACGCCTCGACGGAGGCGTCAGCCAATGAAATCCCGTTTATTCAAATCTGCCAGTACAATCGCTAGCCAATCAAACCGCGTGTATGCTGGGAGAGACTACGCAGGTCATTTCCTCATATTCAAAAAAATGGAGGGAAAATTCATTATAGCGGTAGTGAATCACCCGGTGCTGTATGATCAGTCTCTGTTCATCTACCGGGATACAAACCAGAGGAGCGAGGCATGGAGGGAGGTGGCAGAGACAGTGGATGAAACTGGTAGGTTTTCGCCTGTTTGGGGATTTTATATCCAGTTTACTTCGTTTTAACTTTGCTATTGCTTTGTATGTCGGGGGCGGGAGATTCATGTGATTGGTTGTTGGTCGTGTTGCTCGCAAAAAATCCCCAAGCTTCAGATACGCCCACCTCCGTCAACGCACGCTGCTGTGTGGACGCTCCGTAACGATGGAGTGCGAGTGGTGGATCGGACGAGGACGGTGTGTCTGCGTTGTTAGACAGCGGTGCGGTATGCTCATGGGAACACATGCCAAACATGCTAAATCATATCAGAAGGCATCACCCAGATTTGCCAATCACCGGAGCCCGGGAAAAGACAACAGCAGTTCAACAGCTGATCCCAGCTGTTTTTAAGAAGCCAAGAGACATGAGAGCCGAGAGACCAAAATAAATAACGGAAGCTATTGGCATATGTTTTTCAACGACTTTGCGCTCTTGAAACACTTTCTTATTATTTATGATGTAAGATTTTCAAGACATTATTTTTAGTTTTACAGCTTGATGAACCTTTTTGTTCAGCCATTATAGATACTATGGCCATCTGAGTGTGGTTTGTTTTTAACTGTGTAATGCAGTTAATTATTCAAAATGTTAGAGTTCCTTATTTTTAAACTGAAACTTGCTACTGTTCAAACATAAATAACAACAAACCTGGAATTATGCATTTGGGACTTTTTTTTTGCTTTTCCTTGTTGTACCGAACCCGTACCGAACCCGTACCGAACCGTGACTTCTGTGAACCGTTACACCCCTAGTAATTGTAAGTCGCTTTGGATAAAAGCATCAGCTAAATGAAATGTAATGTGGCAGATGTTAAGATTCAGTGCTGAGATAAGAAAAGTAATTGAATCCTTGATTGACCCTTGGGTCACTAGCCTTCTTGATGTTACTTTTAAAGCACAGTTAAAATGTCACATTAGCTTGTAGATGTTAAAGAATAAAGGCCCCAGGAGCCTTGAGGAAATGTACATATTACACATTCAGTATTTACTAGGGACATGGAGAAAGGTACCGAACTCTTTCATGGACATTTTACATCTCTTCCAGACGGCGGAGTTGATAGAACCAGAGTTATTTGTAACCACTGCAAAGTAGGATTTTCTGATCACTGAGGGTGACTTCTATTACAAACTAGATACAATGTTAATGCCCTTGCAGTGGCAAATAGCTTTGGTTTGATATTTGATTTGTTTACACTAATTAATGTTGAAGTTGAGATTTACAAGAAATGTTTTAACTGCTGCTGTGTAAAGGGAATTACAAAGAATTACTAACGAAGCACTTTTATACTAATAAAGGACTGGCTTATCTAAAGCCAGTTGAGTAGCACTTGAAATTTTTGGCTCTATGAAACCTGATGTACTTTATGATTCTGTTTTCTTCAAGGTTGTGTCTTCTTGGTCGAATGTACTTATTGTAAGTCGCTTTGGATAAAAGCATCAGCTAAATGCAATGTAATGTAATAATGGGAATACTACTGTTAAAAAGTACCTTATTTGTTTGAAGTGTTTGCAGACCAAATGTTATTGCACTTTTAATATAGCAGTATTTTTAAAATAAAAGTTTGCAATACACAACTTTTGTTTTGCACATAACAATGTGATTAATCGCAGAAAATCATGCGATTAAATTGTTTTATTGTTGCTCAGCACTAATAACTGATTAAAATCAGTTCAGTACTGTGCCAGAAAGTCCCACCCCTAAACCACTGATCATACCTGTAACCTGTCAATCAAAATAGTATTTTTGAACATTAAATTGAATATTCATTAATGTAACTAGTTTTTATCTGCTGCTTCATACTCTTAAGGCCCGGACCCACCACTCTGACAACAAAGACGGACACAGACGGACCACGGCTGTTGCGTCGCCTCGCGTCTCTGCGTCTCGGCCATGTGTCTTACTGGAACACACCGACGGCCAAGAAGCACGTACGAACTGCGCATGTGTGAGTGGCAATAACTCTCCTTACCAGCAGGTGGCGGTAGTGTGTATTCGTCATTCAAAAGAGGCAACAACCGGAAGACAGACTGCGTGATATAAACAAACTACAAATAGGTGTGTGTCTCTACAGCGAGAAGCTCATGGGCTTTCCCGAACCTGTGTCGAGAGCTGGAGTTAAATGAAATCTCAGATTTGACTCAACATGTTGAATCGGCGGGTTTTCGGCCGAAAAGGCGTCGGCACGGCGGAAAAGACCCGACGGTGCGGGACACACCAATCTGAGTAACACCCTAATCCCACCAGGAGCGTCAGCGCTGCGTTGCGGCTGCGGCGTTTTTAGCGATCGCGGCCACTCTAGTCAATGGGTGCTATTCCACCAGACCCGCTGTGCCGCGCTGCGCCGCGGCTCGAACGTCCCAGAAGCTCCTCGCCGCAAGGAATTTCTAAAATATAGGATGAATCCTATTTTTTACGCGGCGCAGGCAGGAAGTGGAACGTTCATCCAACAACTGCGAGGCTGCACACACGACGCTCCGCTTCCGCAACGTTTTGAAACGCGCCTGGTGGGTTATGACGCAGGAGGAGGTCGCAGTGCGGCGCAGCCGCAGTGCAGACGCTTCCGGTGGGATCAGGGGGTAAGGCGTGTCGACGCTCATCGTCGGCCTGACGCCCACCGACGCCGATAATCGGCCTGGTGTGTCCGTGCCTTAACCCTTCAGCCGTCTAAGAGTAGCAGTGGCATCACACTTTAATGTGCTCTATGAAAACATGGCTGCACCTTATGCACAGACCTGTACCAGGATATATCTGACTAGCACTTTTCCATTGATGGCTTCCGGACTGTTTGGACCAACAAGGATTGCACCAAGAGCTTCACCATGCGCCTTAGTCTTCAGATTCAACGGAGTTCAATTATCAATTGAAAAATCAACATTATAATCTGGACCTGCAAAAAAGACTAAAAGGATCCCAAATTGTCTGAAAATGAATGTTGTCAATGCTTAGTTAAATCGTTAAAGTAAAGGTAACGTGTCACACGACAGACACCATCTCTCTTTTCATTCACCTCTTCCCTTTGTTCTCTCTCCCTCTTAATTATCTGCCTCTCACACCTCACTTGCTATATAACTTTTTCTGCAATAGGCGTTGTGTCGCAGTTTTAAAAATGACAGGAATAATTAAAGAAAAGTTTCCATTTTAAAGCTCTGATGCACTTTGAGACAAACATTAAGTGGTTAGCTTAAGACCATCTTGTTCCGTAAACATTTGGTGTGCCTGACTGATAGTCATTGCCCAGCTTAAAGCACTCACCTTCAGAGCTTAAACGATGCAAGCTCTGTGGTTTTCAGAATCCAGTGCGGCTGCTGTAAACAGTCGAGAGAGACACCCTCCCCAAGCTGACCAACAATATAGCCAAAAATAAAAGTCAGGACCTCTCTAAGGCTTGCTGGTTGTTGTGTGTATACTCCTGCCAATAGGGGGCGCAGTGTAACCACAGTAACATACAATGTTAAGAGAATAAGTGTATGACCGGGAGTTGATGCTGTGGTGGTTAAGCAAGAGTAACAGTAAAGAAACTAATGAAGCTCAGCGCAAGTTCAACCAGGAAGACCGTCTTTACTCTTCATGTATTTCTATCTCCATGTTTCTACTCTCTCTCCTCCCAATAAGTGACCGGGGGCGTCACTCTTCAGCTTAACCAATCACTTCGCTCTATTCCCAAGAGCCTATCATAACGCTCCGTCTAATCTTTTTAAATCTGCGCTTTCCCCTCTGACAGCTGTCATTCCAGGTGACTCGAGACAACCCTCCTCCCCCCCTTTTCTCCTCCCGTCCCGCTGAATCCAGGGTCAAGCTAAGCCACTCCTCTTCAGACCGACCCAACTATCCATTCACCACCACCAGTGTCTAGACCCCAGGGGGGTTTCATCGGATCGGCTCTACCCTCCCGAATGATACTTCCTGCACAACGGGGCCTAATCGCCAAAATTACCATTGCATTCATTTGTTCATCTGTGCAATAAATATGTATTTTTATTACATCAAAAACCGTCTCTCCTGATTGAAGCACCCATATCCTCTGCCCCGTGCTTTATTAATGTTCTCTTCCTACTAATACACAACACTGGTGTCTGGCTGAGGGTTTACGGAGCACTCTGTTCCATATGCAGTGCATTTTGTGGGATCAGAGCCCACATTTTAGACTTGTTTTTTATAGGAGGTAATACATCAAGTATGCTCACTGTCTTATAGACTCCTACACCAGTGGCGGCGCTAGGAGGTGGCTACTTGGGCTCAAGCCCCGGATGTTTTCTGAAAAGCCCCGGATGTGTCACTTAAAAAAAAAAAATAATTAATTACATTTTTTTGAAAACGTCTCAGGAGTAATGTGCAGTACCGGAGTCCACCAGAGAGGCAGCCACTGTGGGACATTAGCCTGCGTACTGCGTAGCCTGCCCTGAAGAAGAAGTGATCCTTCCTAGTGCCTGACGAGTTTTAAGCTAATAGCCTATACCAGGGGTGCCCAACCTTTTTTGAACCGAGAGCTACTTTTAAAGTTGCCAGTCTGCCGAGATCTACCAGTCCAAATAGAGAGGCGTAGCCATTACTGACAGCCTACTACCAGGTAAATACACACTTCTACTTGTATAAAACTGACCTTTGTACGATGAATACTTCATAAAATACTGCAGATCCTTTATCTTACCTCTGTCTAATCTACACACATACAAGTATTTAACTGAAGCTACACAACAGTGTTGTTGATACAGAGTTGGAGTTTATTCACACGTCACTACAGTGGGTAATGTATTCAAGAAACATTGAACAGTGCTGCCACATATGACACAGGGAAAAAAGAAAAGACTCTGAACCCTTTCTTTGCCATTATATAAAAATAGTGTTGCTACAAAAGTATAAATTAGGCTTACTAATAAGACAACTCAGATCTGAAGCTACACAGGAATCTGCTGCCAAAGTGCAATAAAAAAGACAACATTAATAGAATCAAACCCTTTTTTTGTTGCATTTTAGTAGAATATAAAAATAAATGCCTTTAAAATAGGATGCAAGCAACACTAGTTTCTTAACCTGAATTGATAATAGACTATAATCAATTTAAACAGAACAGATCTTAATGTTTGCATTCTTATACCATTTTGTACAAAAGTTATAATGAATAAATTCAAACAAACTAAAACGTACAGCTGATTAATAACGCTATCTAACTTGAGTTTTTATCAAAAACCTGTTGAAATGCTACTGTTATTTTTAGTGTCACCAAAAAGCGCGTCAGCAGCCTCCAGGAATGCTTCTTTCACAACTTCGCCGTCTTTGAAAGACTTCATGTGTTTCTCAAGAACGTGACTGACACGATAAGATGCTCTGGTAGCAGCCTTGCTCTTGTTGTTGGGCCTGGTGAAAATGGACTGCTGTGCATTTAGCTGTCCTTTCAGGCCCCTCCCCTTTTGGAGCGTAGGGCAGAATTAGGAGGGAATTCCGTCTCGTAGCGTTTGTGCACTGTTTTGAAATGCCGCTCCTAAATTACCCTTCTTCGATAAAGCCACGCTCGCATTGCAGATGAGACAGATGGACTTTGAATTGGAATAGATACAAAAATAATCATCCTCCCACTCGGAGTGAAAATTATATATGTTTTGCTTCTGCCATAATTGCGGTCTTGTGTGTGTGAGGAAGGTCACTCCTGTTGCCCACGGACAACGTCAGCGAAATAGTGCCCACTGCCCACCAGCCACGCCCCGACACATGGGGTCACGCCGGCCAATCACAAAGCTTTGATGCGTTCAAGTGCATTATTCTGGCACAGGAAGATTATGTTACAGAACATTAACGATACAACAGAATGTTGTTGTTCTATTTTTAGACACATCTCACGATCGACTGGGAATCTCCTCGCGATCGACCGGTCGATCGCGATCGACTGGTTGGGCACCCCTGGCCTATAAAGTTATGGATATTAGAAAGTTATTGTCATCGAAGCAGCCGCCACAAGCAGCAGCAGCAGTATCAGCAGCTGACAACAATGTCATCACCAGCAGTGAAGAAATGGATGATGTTTCAGGTTTGTGAATCTAATGGTGATATCTGCACTCTGGCTGACTGAGTAAGAAGTGAAAAAGAGTGATGTAACGTTAATGTTATAGCTAGTAAACATGGAGTAACCACACTAAGTATACCCTTATATGTTAGTATGTATACAGAACATGACTAAAAATTATCCTAAGATGTAACGTTAACCCTTCATACCTCAGTCTACTTTTAAGACACTAAAATAACGTATTCCATTTTTTATTTTGTTTTCGCGCGTGGAATTATACCGGCTCTCGTTTCAGTACATAACAACAGAACTGACAGGCAACCCTCTGAATCAGACTCCGATTGGCTGTGACTGCATCCACTCAGTGTCCGATTCAGAAACGTGACTCTTACACTCTTTACGTCACAAACAAAGATAGTGGATGAGAATAGATCTATAAAACGATAAGCAATGCGCCAGAATCAAGGTGAGACTATCCGCATCCTTTAAAACTCTACGCACATTCGTTACACCTTAATAAGTAAACGACTATTTGAGTGAGTTAAGGCATTAGTTTGCTTCATTAAAGGGTGTTAATGAGTGTTCTCCAGTGCCTTTTGTCCGCTTTAAGGTGTTATTAAGGTAGGGTTCATGTTGCTCTCAAAGTGCACCAGATTGATGCTTTCAACTTCAATATTTAAAAGAAAATCTTCCCGGGGGAGCATGCCCCCCGAGAGGAGACGACGACCCCCTTAAAGGATGTTCGGTCCACCCCCCACTTATAAAAAATAGCACTGTACCCCTGCACCCCCCCCAACCCAACGACTCCTGGGCTAAGCCCCGGATCTCCTACAATCCTAAATCCGCCTCTGTCCTACACAATCAAACTTATTTTTGAAACAAGTAGAATCACCTCTTGCAGAAAGACTGCAGGTTTGCATTCCTCACTTTCCAACCAATTGCTTTCCAACCAAAGTCCATTAAAGTCTACCTTGCATCCAACACTGAAATAAGGTAACATACTTATTTTGAGCAGAGATGGAAGACGTATAGATCTTGTACTTGAGTAAAAGTAGAAGTACCAGAGTGTAGGAAAACTTTGTTACAAGTAAAAGTCCTGTAATCAAAATGTTACTCAAGGAAAAGTACAAAACTATTAGCATCAAAATATACTTAAAGTAAAAGTAGTCGTTGTGCAGATTGGTCCATTTCAGAATAATATATATGATATGTTTCATAATGATTGATCATGAAAGTGTTCTCAAAGCTGGTGAAGGTGCAGCTAGTTTGAAGTACTTTGTATACTGCAGGGTAGCTGGTGGATTTACTCCAGGTGGAACTAAAGTCTGATTCAACACTTGATTATATTTCACATCATTCATCCACATCTGTAAAGTAACTAAAGGGATTAAATACATGGAGTGGAGGAAAAGTACAAAGTTGCATACAATGTAAATACTCAAGTATCTCCAAATTGTACTTAAGTACAGTACTTGAGTAAATGCACTTTGAGCAAAACAAATCAAAACATCCAAAAGTCGTTCTGTTGCATTCTTCTTTTTGTATACATGTACAGCAAGGTGCCTGAGAACGTAAGGAATGATGTAATGGAATGTGTGTGTGTGTGTGTGTGTGTGTATGTGTGTGTGTGTGTACCTCAGATTTTTCCAGGGTGGGGATGTTGTCATTGATGTCCAGGACTTTGACCTCCACTGTTCCTGTCCCTACTAGGCCGCCGGACCCCCCTCCCATATCAGTCCCCTCTACGACCAGTTTGTAGAAGTCGATAGTCTGTTGGAGGGAAAACAGGCACATTCTTCTGATATCTGATGACATGTGATCATACTGTGCAGGGTGAGTCAGACCTTCAGGGCAAAACAGTGCTGCTAACACTAGGGCGCCGGAAGCGGGGGGGCCATTGGGTGTAGGGCGTGGTTTGGGATTGGGCCATACACACGCACTTTTTTGGCCCCCCCCACTTCTAAAATGAATCCGGCGCGCCTGCTGCTGTATATTGTTCCTTGATTGAATTTCAAAGGACATACTTTTCCAACTAAAGTATTTTCATCCCGCCTTAATTCAAATTATGTAAAAACCCTGGGATCCTGAAACTATCAAAACACAGTCTACTTGCTAAAATGCCTTCTAGACATCTGCAGCTAAAAGATTAGTAGTCATCACATAGGTTCTCTGTCCCAGTCCATCACTCAGCACTGCAAAAGTCTTGATATTCGACCAAAACCTCACCCTTGACAAGCTCAGACTATTTCTTACTCCATAAACGTTTGAAACAGTTGTTCCAGCCAAATTACCAGTCCATTTGATTACTCTCTCCTCCCTGGCATACATTTAAAAATATTTCAGCTTAATCAAAACTCTGCTTTTGAATTGAACTCAGGTTGGAAAAAACGACCACATCACACAAATCCTGGCTTCCTTTCAGAAGCCCTGAGAGGCATAGCTGGAGTTATTTATCAGACCTCTTATTGCCCTATGTCCACTCCCACAACCTGAGATCCTGACGTCGTTGCTGGTTGTTCCAAGGTACAGATTGAAACGCAAAGGATATAGAGCCTTAGCTGTAAGGGCTCCTGGCTTTGGAGCAACCTGCCTGAGGAGATTAGGGCTGCACACTCTTTTATGGTAAATGGACTGTATTTATATTTCACTTCATCCAGTTTTTACGACCCCTCTAAGCGCTTTAAATTCTTCAAGTCATCTTTCACCCATTTATTCATACAGAGTAGTAAGAAAACATTCACACAACATTGGCTTTGCCGTTGGGAGCGACTTGGGTAAAGTATCTTGGGATAGGATACATCGATATGGTGAGTGCAAGGGCTGGGATCAAACCCACAACCTTCCAATTGAAGGAAGGCCACACCACCTCGCAGCCACTCTGTATTAAGCATTATTCTTTTGAAAGGTGCTGCAACACATGTGAGATGTGTTGGATATGCCTCACCTCTCTGTCCAGGTTTTCCTCTTTGACGTACAGTTGGCCCGTCTTTCTGTCCAGAGTGAACATGTGACTGGTGCCTGCGGGCTCCTGACTCACGATCCTGTAGCTGATCTCACTGTTAATTGTTCCAGGTTGGTCCTTATCTTTCCCCTTGATCTGCATAACAACGCTTCCTGCAGCAAACAGCACAAACCATAACATTTCAGAGAATCTGTTCACAGCTAGTATTCACATACAGTGTTTGCCTTTGTTTAACTTTTGAGTTAATTAAAGATTAAATATTATAATATGATAGTTTAGACAAAACGCTTAAGAAAAAGAAACCGCTGCACAATGAAAACGGGGAACCTAAAAAGTGATGCACACAGCGAGGACCAGAGCGCGGGTGTTTCTCAATTGCGAGGATGCTGGCTTGGTAGTCGCGTACTTCCAAGTCACTTCCTTCAGAAACGAAGCAAGTATGCTTCCAAGCCACGGCTCCGGAAAAACGAAGAAGAATGGAACAGGCTAACAAGTGTGCCACTCTCTCTAACGGTTTCAAACTGTACCGAAAATAAATACCTCACGATGTCTATCTAATTATGAACTTGCTTTACTTTCACGGAACACATTTTTGGTGATAACAAACAAATGTAACAAATATTATACCATATATATATATATATATATAACATAATATAATATTTACCAACACATGTTCTACGCCACTACATAGTTTTATTACATTACATTACATTACATTGCATTTAGCTGACGCTTTTATCCAAAGCGACTTACAATAAGTACATTCGACCAGGAAGACACAACCTTGAAGAAAACAGAATCATATAAGTACATCAGGTTTCATAGAGCCAAACATTTCAAGTGCTACTCTGGCTTTAGGTAAGCCAGTCCTTTATTAGTATAAAAGTGCTTCGTTAATAGTTCTATCGCTCGAAGTGGAGTCGAAAGAGATGAGTTTTCAGTTTGCGCCGGAAGATGTGCAAGCTATCTGCCGTCCTGATGTCAATGGGGAGCTCATTCCACCATCTTGGAGCCAGGACAGTAAACCCACGTGTTTTCGCCGATGGGAACTTGGGTCCCCCTCGCAGCGAGGGCGCAACGAGTCGTTTGGCTGATGCAGAGCGGAGTGCACGTGCTGGGGTGTACGGTTTAACCATGTCCTGGATGTAGGAAGGGCCAGATCAATTCGCAGCATGGTAAGCAAGTACCAGTGTCTTGAAGTGGATTCTAGCAGTTACCGGAAGCCAGTGAAGGGAGCGGAGGAGCGGAGTGGTGTGGGAGAATTTAGGAAGGTTGAAGACCAGACGAGCCGCTGCATTCTGGATGAGCTGCAGAGGTCGGATGGCACATGCAGGTACACCAGCCAGGAGGAAGTTGCAGTAGTCTATACTTACATTTAAATGTGTGCTGCGTCGGTTCAGCCATTCTCCGCAAGGGTTTTTGAAATTGGTCCGTGCGCAAAGCATTGTGGGGATTTTAAGGACGCGAAGTCTTCCCATGTGCAGCCTCGAAATTTCCCCCAAACCAAGGACGCGGCCGCCTCGGTGGAATTCCAAGTATGCTGGAGATTGGAACAGTCCTTCGGCGGCACTCGATGACGTAGCATCCTTGAAATATTGGCTTGGAAACCAGTTTCCTCGAGATTAAGAAACGGCCCGCTTGTTGGCGTTTGGGGATTATAAAGTTGTCTAACTGCAGGGCCGTGGGAAGTAGGGGTGCTGAGGGTGCTGCAGCACCCCCTGGTGGAGGACCATCAATCTGCACTTCCACGAAATTAAATACAAATATAATACACAAAAAACGAATTTTCGTTAACTTTAGTCTAAGTTATCTCAGTAGGTTTGTTTGTTTTTATTTATAGAAGGACCATGCATACACAAATTAATCTCAGCAAAGAGAAGAGATGCAATATGCCAGATTATAGCTAATAGCTGATTTCCATCTGTGGTCCTCAGATCAGTTTTAAACGGTTTGGTCACAATTTATGTAAACAAATATTTCCAAGGCACACCTTTATGATTATTAGGATAAATAAAAACAGGTTTGAAATCATTCCAACGTGTACTATAGGACAGTAAACCACAACTATCGTTTACAACTGGAGAGATTACAAAATATGCATAAATAAATGTTAACTGATAAAATAAGATATAAATGAACCACAAAAATAAAATAAGTTAGCCTACATTTATTTGTTATTGGCTATGGTAGGTTATTGGAAATGTTCACATACTTATTTGATTAATAGATTGAAGCATTTTACTTTGAAATGTTAAAACAAATCTTCTCGGGGGGCACCCCCGGACCCCCCTAGAGGATGTGAAGTCCACCCCCCAATTAAAACATGTTCATACAATACTAAATACATTTTAAGCCTTTTTATGTAAGCTGTCCACCATGTCAATACGTTTCTCTTTTTCTAGTGTATTGGTCTTTTGTAGAGGTTTTTCATTGCCAGCTAAAATCTTGCCGGGCAGCAAATTGGTCAGAACCAGCCCTGGTGTCATCCCCACAGCACCCCCCATTTGAAACATGTTCCCACGGCTGTGTCTAACTGCCACTGTTGGCAGAGTAAGCCTGTTTCATAATTGTGTGCTTTGTCAGTATATTTATAATATATGGCTAGGTTAGCTACGTTAGCTAGTTTACAGCAGATCTGCAATATTATCGGAACGAATCATGCCTTTACATCACATGTTAAAATATGCAGATAAAATTAACATTTTATGGCAGAATTTATAATCCCCGATCATCAACAAGCGCTTTCGACCCCAGCCGCGTGCATCACTTTTTAGTTTCCCCGTTTCCGTTGAGTTTTGTGGAATTTTTAAAGCTGAAGTGTCTTCAACATAATGTAAGGCCATTGTAACGCGTTGGCCCCTGTTGGTTACTGTAGGTATGGGCTATTAGGAAAAATAAGTACTTTTAGCACTTTTAGTGTATTTATAATGTCATCTTTTTTTATTTAAATTAAGTTTTAAATAAAGGACTTTTATTGTTTTTAATGTTGCTTTACTGATTGAACTCAAACGTAAAGTATGTGAGTACTTTGACCAACTCTGATGTGGACTGTGTTTTGGTCACATTTGATTGACAGCAGAAATACACAGTAAGATATTCTGAGTTCTGACTGTTTCCATCATTCTCTCACAGCAGCTGATATGTGTTCAACTACCTGGTTTGCTTTCCTCTGCGATGTTGCCCATCTGCAGCTCAAAATAAGGAGGGTTGTCATTCTGGTCCAGAACCGTGAATGCCAGTGGGACATCATCCTCTGCTTTCGTCCCGTCTTTGAACCTTGCCACCCCTGTTAGCTGCATGCGTTACATGAAGAAACACTTTACTATTGATCTTTGAAGATAGAATACAGACACCCAAACCTCAAGTCAATGTTGCTTCACTAGATTTCTTCCGGAGCATTTTTTTTTGTTTGTTCAGAAGAAAGAAAATGAACTTTCATCCATTGCCTGACTGTGGATGTCACAGCTGTCACATCTGCACTTTCTTATCGCTGCTGTTTTGTGTGTGTGCCAAGCCTCTTAAAATACATACCTATTAAACTAAGCATAATTCGTCCCTATGGCGCTTGGTTGTCACAAATGCGTTTCTTAAGGTCTGGGAATTTAAGCCAGGTAACTTCCTTGTTTAAACTTTACATACAGGTTAACTCGTTAACATTACAAATCTGCTTGCACAAAACTCTGACAATCCTCTGAAATATTTGGGCGTTACTAGTGCCTTCTTTATTTGTATTCTCTTTGCTGCTATAACGGTTTTTAATCACCATTTTAATCCCTGCTTACATGTATTAGTTGTTATTTTTAAATGCATTGAGAAGCCTACCAAATCTCATCTATAGTATCTCAAGTATAATGACAATCAATCTCTTGATCTGAAACAAAAGTCCAAAACAATATATGCACAAGGGTAGGCTAGTGACATTCAGTAAAGCTCTGTGGCTGAAGGAACGTGAGCTTTATTCTCCCTCCAGTCTTCATCAGGTTGCAGGACAGTAGAACTTTAAAGAAAGACTTACATTGTAGAATTGGCATTTCTCCCGGTCCAGTAATTCAGTGATGCGGACAAACCCAGTGTTTCGGTCCACTACAAAGAGATTGAAGGGTTCCTTGTCAGCTCCTTCTCCAGTGAGAAAATAGTCCACCGACTCACCTAAGTCTTTATCAGAGTGTATCTGACAACAAAACACAGACAGAGGAATCATGGACTCGCTATTCAGGTGTTCCTCTCCTGTAGTGTGTTATTTAGGTTTTTGTGAATGTGAATGGTCTGCAAAGGCTACAATCCCGGAGTTCCTGAGTTTCTCTGCCCCAAATTTCCCCATCTGCCTGCCATTAAAAAAAGAAAGACCTTTTGTCATGTCACAGTATAGAGGAACACCTTCACATTTGCATAATAGGGCTTCTTTAACAATGTTATGACAATTGCTATTTAAATGTTCAATTCAAACGCTTGTGTTGGCTATTGTTGAACCAATAGCACCTTTGAAGGAGACGCCAACCCAAGCTTTCAAACCAGAGTTCTATTAAGAATCTTTCAATATTGTATTCAGGACGATAACATCCATATCCTGTGTAATGTAACTACAGTAATACAAAGTGAGTTGATTGAAACTGTGACTAAACCTCAAAGTTCAGTCCTCTATTAGTGTTGCAGGACATTCAACCTAAGCCACTTTGGTTTTGGACAGTTAACAAATTAATGACTTAAGGCTGATCATTAAAGTTGTTTTAATTAATATTTAAAAATGCTGTTGCTCACTGGCTCTGAATACACATACAGCCAAACCATGGGTCACAGGAGGGGTGGGATGTTGATCAGTATTGGCTTAGGATGGGCGTCATTACGCGTCTCAACCAATGAGAGCATTTGGGGCGGGCCTAAGACGGCTGCAGCGCTCACATGACCGAAACAGAAGAAAAGTGGCAGGACAGAAACATGGACATTTGACATCTCTTCCAGACGGCGGAGTTATTTGTAAACACTGCAAAGTTTAATTTTCTTCTCACTGGACTCTGAGGGTAACTTGTCTCTCTTTAACTAGATAACTTGTTAAGTGGCACATAGCTTTGGTTTTATATTTGATTTGATTACGTTAATTAATGTTGATGTTGAGATTTACAAGAAATGTTTTAAACTGCTACTGTGTTTACATACTGCTGTTAAAAAGCATATTAAGTGTTTGCAAACCAAATGTTATTGCACTTTTGTTATAGCAGTGCTTTTAAAATAACTTTTGAATACATTATTGAATTTTGCGCATTAATCGAAGAAAAGCATGCGATTAATCACGGTTAAAAATGGTAATCGTTGCCAAGCGCTAATTTATAGCAATACATATTTATCACTCTGCACAAATAAAAGTGAATAACAGGTTTGCTTGAGGTACATATTTGTACTCATAAATCACCAATGCAGGCGTGGCTTCTTACATACACTCGTTACCGGTATACTATGTTCCATACCCTATTTCTTATCAGTGTTTTCTTGGGAACGTTCTGTTAAAACGTCTCTTTAGCCTGAACTGCAGCCCAGGGCCAAATCACCCAATAGCAGCTGAGGACTGAAACCAGTTTAAACAGGTTGGCTCACTGCAGGCAAAGTGCTGACAGAAACAAGTGTTTTTATTTAGTTTTTTAACATTGAAGCTCATCCAGTCTACACATTATAATGACTGTGTGTGAAATAATATTTGGATCAAACCTTGGCAATGAATTCCTTGTGTCGGTAGTCAGTGTTTTCCATGAGCTTGGCAGGAGGAATGATCCACTCCCTCTTCTTCCTCCTCAGGGTCTTTTGCCTTCTCGGTCCTGACTCGGCACTGAGCACCTGAAAGGAAACCACACATAACAATTCCATTTGTTTCATTTTTGGACAATTATACAAATGAAATAACATTATCAAACTCTTCACACAGTCAGCAGCAGCAAGGTGTGAAACAAGGGCAATATGATTATATATGACTTTAGTTACGAGTGATCCTTCCTTCCTCAGAATTAAGACGAGCTCCAAATATAAAATATATTTCAACGCTATAGCACCAACTACATTTAAGAAGCTTGAATTTAAACATGAACCACTGTTGGGAGCTAATTATTAAGAATAAAGGTGATGTGAGGGGCTTTAAAGACGACAGCACGGATCAATACAGTTGATCAGCCATGTGACCGTGTGGGAAAAGGAAACCAGGAACAGCATAAGCTATGATTCTGGTTTTGAGGCAGTGGCTCCTGTGTTCAGTTCACTTTCTATACGTCGCACTGGAAAAAATCCTCAGTGAACACACAATTATTTCTATAGCTATGCTGAAAATACACACCTGTTCACCTCCCTAAGACCAAATGATATCAACCCTATCGGTAAACTGGTTCAATGCACATTAAGCAAATACAAACATATGCTGTAATTCAGAGAAAGGTTAACACAATGAGAGACACAGAGACGAGTAACCAAGAGTCCGTGGCCCCAAACTAAAACTCTCTAGATCCAGATCGGAACTTTGAATCAACACAACATTAATGCCACATTTATACCAGCTTAGAAATTGTATTTGCTTCAGTTCAACCAATTCTCTCTGAAAGAGAGAGCAGACCCGGCGCCAGAACAAATCTAAAGGGAGGGCATATGATTTTCATGGGAGGGCACACAACACCGTCACGTGCTGCGGGCCTGCGGCACAATATATATCAAGCAGCAAGGCCAACAGCATTGCGCAAAGACGCACACTTATCACAAATACACACACAAATAAAGGGCAACATAGAAACCACGTTTGAAACATTGCGTGCGTGGCAGCACAGACACTGGTAAACAGGCCCGGACTGGCCATCGGGAGGACCGGGAGGTTTCCCGATGGCCATTTTTTAAATGTATTGTGAACGCAACGCTGCGCAAATGTGGGTCTGACTCTGCCTCACAGAGGGTGACTGGCTGTCTTCATGATGTGGCCTGCCGACATGGCCACTTTCATACAGATCATACACTAATGCCCTCGATTGGTCTCGTGTCATTCAAGCTCGGGAGGGTGTGTGTGTGTGGCGCGAGCAAGCGAGAGAGAAAGCGCATGCACTGGTTACGTGTATTGTTGTTGTTAGCATCCGGTGCTAGCTAGCGGCGCTAACGGAATGAGCTGTCAACAAGGTGGAGGAGAGTCCTCTGCTGTCAGACTGAGAGGCTGATAACTACAGCTCAGGTGAGGTAAAGGACTTTAGAGTGTTTAGATAGTTAACTTAGTCTAAGTTCACTGTGGGTCTCAAACGGTTTGGTCACCATTTATGTAAACACATATTTCCATTTGAAGGGGGAGTGATTAGTAAAATATAGATGAATAATAAAAAAAAAAAAAGTTAACTAGGTGAAAAAAGGCAAGATAAACTTTAAAAACTTGTTGAGAGCTAAAACTAGTCTTTGCTGCTGCCTCAAAGAGGAGCAGGGGGGAGAGGAGGGAGAGGAGGGAGAGGAGGGAGAGGAGGGAGAGGAGGGAGACGGTGAGGCTGGTTCAGGAGCACAGACACACTATGCCATGCTAACTATAAATGAACCAAAAACAAATAAATAAACAAGTTTCAATGTTTTTCCATATTGGATATGGTATGTTATTGGTTATGGCCATGTTCTTATGATTATTTAAATGTATACAGTTCTGTTTCATATGGGTGTAGTAGTCTCTTTATTTCCCCCTCAAAGTGCACCAGATTGATGCATTTAAGTCCAACATTTAAAAAAAAAAATCTTCCGCATGCCCCCGGACCCCCCTATAGGATTTGAGGTCCACCTCCACTTCAAATATGTTCACATGGATAGGTTCCTAAATAGATTTGCACTTTTAAAAAAAAATAGTAACCCATGTCCATATGTTTATTCTGGGGTAGTTTTAAAGTTTATGGCTATCACTACGGGCAGCAACGCTGTAAATATTGACAAATAAATCCAGGAAAATTACACAAAATAAAACTGGTAGTGGCCTGGTTGGGTGTATAATTCCCGGCCTGACTTATTGTCCCAGTCCGGCCCTGCTGGTAAATCACCAGCAAGGCACACTGGTTAAGGATGGCAGCTTCCTCATCGCTGCACTCGGAGAGAAATAGTAGAGACGGAGACGATGAGCTGCTGTTAGCTCTATTGTGGCATTGTGCATGTCGTGAGAGGTGTGTGTTGCTGTGTGGGGAATGCTGTCCATTATTTTGGCCAACTCTGCATCTTTGTTGTACTGCATACTCAAACAGCGACAGGAAGAGCCCACTGCCTGACTCGGACATGCTGTGGAGTGAATCGTGGTCACCTCTGAGAGGGAGTTGGTTGACAGCTAAAAAAGCTACAATATCAACGACAGCTGACACGTAATAATGGCTCCGTGCAGCTGATCTGCACCAAAGTACTAATTTCCTTATGTGTTTCCTCGCGTATCTCTCTCTCCACAAACTCTCACATGAAATGTGTTATTTTGTTGCGGCATGTCTTAGCAGTCCTTTATCAGTCTGTAATGCGTGTTTCCAGTCGCCAAAACCTTTGACAGTAAAAGCCGCATCAGATGAAGACGTATTCACTTTAAACTGTCTACAGGGGAAACAAAAGGCTGCATCTGCTTAACGAATATTCAAGCCATGGTCTGTTGTGTACCATGCAGCGGCTAAAGTGCGTTTCTTTCCTGAAAACAATCTCCCTGATAACGATCCAGTTTCACCTGCTTGGGTTTATTAACCCCAAGATCATCTGGGGCTGTTGGTCTTTGAGCGGTTGCTGGCCCAATAATACCTGTTGATGTGCTGCGAGGTAGCGTCTAGTGGAGACACCGGCACGGAGGAGGAGGAGGATGCTGGCGGGTGTGGTGCAGGGTGTGGCAACGCAGGTGGTGACGGTAGGGGCACAAGGAGCTGTGCCTCGGAGGACAGCGTTGGTGGCGGCCGCCTTGATGAGTCAAGGCTTGGGCTCGCTAACTCAACCCCGGGGTTTGCCGAGGCAAGGCGTACTGCTGCAACGGCAGGTGCAGGGTCGCCAGCAGCACCACCGGCTGCAGCTCTTTCATCGCTATTTCGTTTTAATAAATCCTTAGACCTTTTGAGCCAATTTCTGATGTCCATTTTGTAATTCAAACATAAATGGGAGTCTACAGAATGCACAATAAACAAATCCAGAATAGGCGGCAGAGTGTGACGCTGTGATTGGTCTAAATGTGGACGAATCACAAATCACAACAGACATGAATTTATTTGACGTAGCCTGCGATTTTTTTGTTTTAGTTACTATCTGACATCACATACATCGTAGCATAAAAGTTCACAGTTTATTTATAACAAAAAAAATTAAAAAATATATTTTTTAATTTTTATAAATAATAAAAATCGTGTTTATTTGGGGAGGGCAAGAATGTCAAATGGGAGGGCCTGGCCCTCCCTGGCCCTCCCACGGCGCCGGGCATGAGAGAGAGTGAGATAATTATAGCTGTCTTTGTTACTAGCAGGCTGGTTGAGTGGAATGTTCATACATTTTTTTACTCAAGAAAAAAAGCAATAAATCATTTAGAGATTGTGCAGCGGCATGTCCAGAGCGAGGCCACAAAGAACACCAGATTTCAAGCTATTTTAAGTTGTGTTCAAAAGCTCCAATGGACTCCCTTTACCTAAGCATCCTCTTATTCTTAATCAAATATATATAATTCTTTCTTCCATCTTTTACGGTGCTGAGCCCTTCCATGTATGTTCATGTGTTTGTTTTATGTAGCGCCCTGTAGATAAATACAGTGTGTGTTTTTGGTTGTGAGTGTTTGTGTGGGTTATTGGAGCTCTCATGTCAAACGTTTTTCCTGACAAACATACAAATCAACTTCTGAGTTAGTGTGTCAAAAAACAGCCATGCCAACATGAAGAACAAGTGACGTCATGTTACAAGACAAAGTGACAAAGACATCCATCCAAGTTAGAATGAATTCAACTTTAAACAAAACATGCACATGAAGGTAATACTGATGATACTGACGAACAGTGCTTTCATTCAAATGGTATTCAAAGCGTAACACGACTGAAGCAGTGGACCAATTAGATGCGGGTAAACAGAGACGAAGACAGTGTCCAAGATTTCAACATTATAAGGCAGGGGTGTCCAAACTACGGCCATTGGTCCATTTCGAATTGGCCCGCAGCAAATTCTAAAAGTATAATGAATTATGGCCCACACCTGAAACTTCTGCTTCTCTTATATTGTACTTCTTAAATATTTACATTTAAAAAAATATATTACACATTATTCATTGTAGCCCGATATTCAAATAAATTCAGTAAATTAAAGTTGACAACAAATCTTAGTTGATGAAAAAGCCCAATAATTTATTTGTATAATACATATTTCCCCTTAACACCGCACCCCTCCCCCGCATTCCAGGACCAGGAAGGTGAAATGAAACGCATCCTTATCATAAACCCCCCCCCCCACTACATTTGGTTGATTTTGCCAACTTATAACTAAACTTATCAGGCATTATAGCTCTAGTGAGGGGCCCAGCCCTTCGTATGTTTTTCTATATGTGGCCCTCAGTGAATAAAGTTTGGACACCCTTGGTATAGGGTCATAGCGCAAACCGCTGCAAATAATTGCAAACTAGACCACTTCAAAAATAAACCCTGTCCTGCAATGACAGGTTGCATTCTGCCCTGCAGCATGCCCCAGTGTGTCCATGTCAAAGTCACTTGAGTAGATTGAATACTCACCAAAGCCAGCACTAACAGGAGCAGCAGGCCCACTTCTGAGAAGGAGAGGCGAGCCATGACTGCAGCCAAGTTGAGCCGGCAGCAGCTGTCCTTTTTGTTCACGGGAATCCCACTGAGGATGAAGCCACGAGCCTTAAATCTCTTCTATCAGAGACACACCTTTGTCAAGCCCCCACCCCCTGCTGACTGCACCTGTCACATGATTGCGTTTTACTTTAAGGCGTGTCTGCTCACGGATGTACAGTTTGCAAGCGTACAGTTATGCCTCAGGGTAAAACATTTGACCACGATGACAAGGACAAACATGCTTTCCTAGAATAATCATTTTTTCTTATGCAATGTCAGTTTGTCTTGTACACATTCAAGTGTTTAGAGAAGTGAAGGAATGAGTTCTCCCCGTAAGGTTATAACAGCCTCAGAATACGATGTTCTTTTCACAAAAGCCAACACCAAGTCGATGTTATTTCATGTTTTGAGCAACTTACTATTCCAACAAGTCCTCCAACTCATACGACCAAATATGTCATTTGTTCAAGCGCTTAATACGTCCAATAATTACGTTTTAAAGTTTTCGCCCTCTAGTGCTCCCGTTGAATGCAAACGTTACATGTAAAATCCTAAATTGTAGGATAGTTTGGCCATTAAAACGCTTTATGATTAGATTTCTAGCGAGAAGTGTAGATTGTACTTTTAGAATCCACGTCCAGTCGATATGTAGGATCTATAGTTTGATAGATGTTACGAAGATGATTTGAGGTATGCGGCAGCCTCCATGTAAAATTACGGGTTGAAAACAATATTTCCGGTCTCGACGTTTTCATAATAAAACCAATGATCATTTATTTACATATTAGCATGTGTATCAGTAAACTTTAAAACATAAAGTAACAAGCCAAGTCTTCTCCAGGTTTAATTGTACTGCCCTTTATTTGAAATAGCAAAACAAATATCTAAAAGTAGAGATGAAACCCTTCAACTTAAATCAAAGAGTGTAGCATCTACAAGCAAAAGTAAAAGTACTTATATATAAAACCCTTACATTTTAATGCACACCCAGGGTTGTGATGAGGTGCTGATAACTGGCAATAGAACCATGTGCATATATTTTCTTTAGATCTGTTCATTTTGTGAAGGCCTGGGGCCTACAACTGTTCATACAAGTAAGTAGAATCAACCAGAGTACACTAAGCATGAGGCTACACTCCCACTTAAACAGCAGAATAAAAACACATGGTCCCAAACACAGGTGCGAAACAAAGTCCCATTGTATCGGCAGCCACAGCCTATGCCACATACAGTCAATGCAAATAAACACACACGCCGGCTAGAGCTGCTCTCCACACAGCGCTCCAAGCTGAAATTATTCGGCAACAGAGTGTCGCAGCCCCCACCCTCTGGAACGCTCTCCCCTCTGATATCAGGAATGCCGACTATCTGGACACTTTCAAACAACAACTCAAACACCATCTGTTTACTCGGGCCTTTGGCCTCAGGTAAAATGCAGTACCCAGCAACCTGTTCTTTTTCAACCTGTGTATCTGTGTGATTATTATTATTTTGTTTCCCATTGTAAAGCGTCCTTGAGTTTCTCGAAAGGCGCTATTAAAAATTGAAATTATTATTAATATTCATTATGAATAGCTCCATCATTTCACTTTCGTAATTTTAGACCCGCGGGGGGGGGGGGGGGGGGTGCTGATTCTCTGTCTGTTACTTTAGATGAAAATAAGGAGCCCCTCCCCACGCCCCTCTGAGAGAGATTTGGTTAGAAAGAACTCAATGGTGCTCTAGGAGGAGATTCAGGTGATAAGGAGGGGGGTTACCTTGGTTGCTGATTGGCTAATGGTTACACAAGACAAAACATCGTTATGACATCATAAAGGGGCCAAAATCTGATCAGCTCATTTTTTTTGACAGGTTTTTATAGAAATGGATCAAAAAGAGAGAGAATCTTTGTAGGGCAGGTAAACACTAGAGCAGCATGGAGCTCACGCAGGTGGAAAGAACCCAGACAATTACATAGTGGAAAAAAACACAAAGACAGGAAGTAAGACAAGACACAAACATAAAATAATTTTTCTAAATATTGAATAGGAATTTAAACAGAAAAACAAGGATCATGACACATCCCAAAAAGAGTCCAGCAGGGTGGGCGCAGAGGGTCTGGAGGAGGTATTCGTGGGGGAATGACCAAGGCCAAAAGAGTTCATGGAGGAGGCTTCAGGTTGCTCTATGAACGTGGACAACAGAGAAACATATTCTTCAGGACCAAAGTTGGGATTGAAATAAAAAAGGAAAGTGAAACTTACTCTCCCTCCGGTCCACATTAATACAAATGATCCCAATTCGTATGATATGAAAATATCTTAAAATCAATACAAATGTATTTATTATAAACGTTAGTCCTTAACATCTATCACTGTGTATCACCTTTCAAACATCTTTTAAAAGTTGAACAAACTCCACACAGCTCAGTAAAGACTGTGAGATGTTGACTTTATTTCATCATTTCAGTAAAAACGAACGTTCATATTTCTCTTTTTGATTATGATACTGATGTCACGAACTTGGAATCACAAGGAACTGAACTCAAATGCATGACCCGAGAGACAGAGTATGCAACAAAGTATTTTATTCCAAAAAGGATGCAAGGATACAAAATAAGGATCGACAATCTTGACGAGGTGAAAACGGGTTCAGAAAAGCACAAAAGGAAATGGCTCACAAGGTGAGGAATAAAACTTAAAGACTTCTGGAGCATAAATTAGGCTTGAGTCATAATACTTACAGATGTTGCACCCTGTGGCGGCCGGCCCATAGGGGCGCCACCCCCCCTCTTCCCACATTTTAGATTGTCATTAAAAAATGTGTTTTTAATGAACAAGGTAAATATTAAATAGTAATCAGTAAAATGTATAATCTACAATAAAATCTTGTTTAAAATTGTGTTACGATGTCTAAAGTTACTGATAAGTCACGTGTTTCCTGCCTGGCCGCAGCGTGTATCATTACCCTCTCTCGTCTGGGCGCTGAGAAAAGAGCCCTAAGTGCAGCAGCAGCCAACCAATTGCTGACTGTTGCTATCTGAAAAGTAAACTATGCCGCCGAAACATAATTTCAGCCAATCAGCGTCGTCAGATCTGATGGTCAAAGGGCTACAATCTCAGCGCCCAAGGCAGTTACTTTCTACCATCAGACAGGAGGAGATCAGGTTGTGCTGTATCAGGATCGAGAGTCACCTCCACCTCATACTGCTGGACCCTCTTCAGCTCGAGCAGCTTCTTCATCTGTTTACTGAGCGTCTGCTCCAGCAGTTTATCGTGCTTCACACACATCCTGCCTTCCAGGTTCTCCTCAGGGTCGATCAGCTGATGTTTCTTCAGGCCTGCTCTTGTCAGGTGAGGCTCCAGGTGAGTCTCAGAGATGAAAGTGTTGACCCGCAGCTCAGGCTTTATGTTGAACACCTCTTTGCAGTTGGGACACTGACTCAGGACATTTCTATCCCAGTGTTGAGAGATGCAGGCTTTACAGAAGTTGTGTCCACATGGTGTGCTGACTGGATCAGTGAACACATCCAGACAGATGGAGCACAGAAACTGATCTTCAGTCAGCAGACAGCTGGCAGCAGACATGTCTGTAACGGCCCGTCCACACAGCGGCGTGCGTTGAAGCTTGCCGGCGGGCGTGTCTGAAACTCGACCAACAACCAATCACATGAATCTCCCGCCCCTGACACACAAGCAGCGGTTTGATTGGCTAGAGCTTGTACCGGCATATGATTCGATTGGCTGACGCTTCTGCCGAGGCTTCAAAAGTTGAACATTGCTCAACTTTTGCAGCGAGCCACGCCAGCAAAGCTCCGCTTCGCTTCCCACAATGCAGTTCGGCGAAAAGTGACGTCACCCCATTCAAAGTGAATGGTGAAGCTTTCAACGCACGCCGCTGTGTGGACGGGCCGTAAGAACAAAATGGGTAAAAAACAACAACATTTTAACAACATGTAGTAGAGAATACGGTATGCACACTGGATGTAAAAGGCTGACACTAAAGTTCACTGTTTGCTTTAAAAGTTAAATACTATCCTTAATGTGTTAAACATGTAGATCATTTTACAGTTTGATTAAATGTCCTGCTATAAATCATAGGGTCCCATAAACAACACATGACCACAACTCAATTATATTATTTGAAAAGCCTAATCCATCAGAATATATGTAATCATAGCCTCTGATCCCTGCCTGCTACCAGTCTTAAATGACTGAAGCATGTGGCTATTAGCTGCTTGTGAGTTATTCAAAGAGAAGGAACACATGGATTGGGGGGGTGCTTGAATTTTGACTTGAGTCGTCCCTTATAGATACTGTCTTTTTACGTTAGTGAGCCGGATCATTTGGCTCGGCTCTCTTACGGCCCGTCCACACAGCGGCGTGCGTTGAAGCTTCCAACGCTTCTGCCCATTCACTTTGAATGGGGTGACGTCACTTTTAGCCGAACTGCATTTTGGGAAGCATCGTGGAGCGTTGCTGGCGTCAAAAGTTGAGCAATGTTCAACTTTTGACGCCTCGACGGAGGCGTCAGCCAATGAAATCCCGTTTATGCAAATCTGCCAGTACAAGCACTAGCCAATCAAACCGCGTGTATGCTGGGAGAGACTACGCAGGTCATTTCCTCATATTCAAAAAAATGGAGGGAAAATTCATTATAGCGGTAGTGAATCACCCGGTGCTGTATGATCAGTCTCTGTTGATCTACCGGGATACAAACCGGAGGAGCGAGGCATGGAGGGAGGAGGCAGAGACAGTGGGTGAATCTTGTAGGTTTTCGCCTGTTTGGGGATTTTATATCCAGTTTACTTCGTTTTAACATTGCTATTGCTTTGTATGTCGGGGGCAGGAGATTCATGTGATTGGTTGTTGGTCGCGTTGCTCGCAAAAAATCCCCAAGCTTTAGATACGCCCACCTCCAAGCGTCAACGCACGCTGCTGTGTGGACGCTCCGTTAAAGCGCCGGCTGTTTCGGCTCCCAAGCGGCTCTTCGTGTTACCACAGTTTACCACGGAGCCTCAGTTTCGCCGCTGCGAGGCTCTGGTGCTCGCAGCTCACGCGCGTGCTCCACTAGCACCGCTCATCGCGTCCGAATCGCGCACGTTCCGTGTTGTCCTGTGGCAGGCACCGCCGATGTCGGGGAAACGATCCTCAATACTCCGAAAATAATCCCACCAGACTCCTTTGCCCCTCCAACAGCGGGATGGATGTCCTTTTTCGTTATTTCAAGCGATAAAAACTCTCGATCTTCTCTCAAATTATTAATATTTTTGGACGCCCTTGGCTCGAGTTCAGGGCGTCCCGAACTGAATAGGCAAAATGACGGCAAGACGCCCCCCTGGCGGAAACGCTGGTATTTATCATTCTTTCTGTATCAGAGGCTCGCGGCTAGCATGGCATCAAAGCTGTATCATGGCTACCTCTTCAGCTAGCTAGCTAGCTAGCTTCAAATCAAATGTCTACCCCTGCCGTACATACTGATTTTATTTTTACACAAGCCGACGTACCTCTGTATTTGGCTCTCGTTCCCTCCTGTTCTTTTTTCCGTTTCCTTCCCGTTGCACCTGAAGGCTTGGACCTCTTCATAATGATAATTTGTTGCCTCTTGTTGTTGTGATCGTTGCGATCTCCGACACTTTCAGCTGGAGCTACCGCGTCACTTTGGCTGCTGTGAGCCACGGCCCGTGGGTGCTTGATAAGCGACCATCCCCCACTTTCATCACTTACAGTTACAGCGCCCATCGTACAGGGCAAATGAAAAATGTTACCGCGGTGCAAAGGGTGTTTACTTTATTCAATTATTAATGTAAATGTATTACATCAAGGGCAGACTTTTCTTTTTGTTTTCCCAGCACAGTGCCACCTCCAGATCTGGCGCCCTAGGCTATGCCAAAAACCGGACCTGAGTGCACTCACCAGTGTTTGCAGAGGTTCTGCTGTTGTTGAGAAGAAGCTGCTGGATTCAGCTGTTTCTTCAGAGAAACAGAGACGCTGTCTGGACCGAAGCTCTGCTCTCACAAAGTTTCTGTTTCAGTGTTGCTCCTCCTCTGTGTGGCTCTGTGAGTGAGGGTGTATCACTCTCTGGGGAGGGCATCAACACAGCTTTGTAACAAGAGGAGTTTTACTTTTAGTCTATTCTGAAATTTAAAACAATTTAATTCTCAGAAAAAAGTCAGAATGCTGAAAAAAAGGAATACATATAAAAAAAGTTACAATTTCCCCAAACATCTGGAAAGTCAGAATTCTCAAAAAAGTCAGAATTCTAAGAAAACAGTTACAATTCTCAACGAGGCCGAATTCAGCAAAAAAGTTGTAATTCTGAACAAATTAGATTTCTCATAAGAAAATCGGAATTCTTAAAAAATAATCTCAAAAGTCAGAATTCTCAAAAAATACAGAATTCTGAACAAATAAGATGCTCAACAGAAACGGAATGTCTTTGATGCACACACAAACTAAGACTGAATATCATGTTCTATTTAGAACTAACGATTGATGAAGGTGTATTTGTTTTTGAGGAGAGTGCCGGGAAAGTATGGCATAGGTTGGGTGAGAGTATGTAATTATGGAATGGGGTGATTCTTAGGGATTGGTAATATTCAACCATTTTTATTGAGGTGCATAATGCTTCCAACAGATTTGGGATTTAGCCGGTATCTTTTCTCGATCACAACTTCTCCACATTTTGAAGTGTTCCCACATATCAGAAGGAACTCTCTTCCTGGCTGGCTCCATAATGATCCATTACAATACCAACAACTCAACAGCAACAACACAAACTACAACAACCCAGAAATTGTGCAGAGACGTTATAAATCGTGTCTCACCTGTCACAATCGCGTCGAGGCAGTGCCAGTGCATCACCTCATTGGAGCACTCAGACTTGTGTATTAATGGTATCATCTTCAGCATCAGTCTGTGTAGTTATTTATTGAGAGCATGCAGGGCCGGCCCTGACCAATTTGCTGCCCTAGGCAAGATTTTAGCTGGTGCCTCCCCCCCCCCGCCAAATGCAGACACTTACACTTACTATGACTCGCGCGTGCATGGTTGTGGTGTATATTGTGTAATATTGAAGTTAAAAGCATCAATCTGGTGCACTTTGAGAACAACATTAGGAAATCTATGGACATCTCTCAACACCCATATGAAACAGAACTGTAAGTAGATTTTCGTTTTCTTTATGGATACTTTACAAATCACTCTCCTTTCAAACTGTATTCTTGTTTATTAATAACAACTTTTTTGTACTGTCATATAGTATTTTATACCTGTTTTTCACCTATTCTCTTATTTTTGTATAACTATAATGATCATATAACTGAGCTGAGGTTATCAGAGCCTCTCAGTCTTTCAGGAGAGAGCTCTCTAAAGCTCTCCCCCCCTCCGCGGCCGCTTACACAGTAATTTCCAATGTTAATAAAAGCACACAGAAGCTGTGTACGTTTTTTTTGGGAGTTTGATTTATTTTAAATGAACACAAATATAAAATTAAAACCTATAATCGCACACCACCATTATTTAAAAAAAAAGAACAATTTCACATAAACCTCTGGTTTTTACTGGGGCTGGGGGAGTTCAACTTGATTTGGGGGGGGGGGGGGGTGCCATAGTTTATGGGCGCTGTACGCAATATAGGCGTAGTTCTGTTAGTATAAGATAATAAGATGTACTTTGTTGATCCAAAATCGGGAAATTGTGTTATAAAATTAAAAAATATATTTTTTTAAATTTCTAACTTTTTTTTTTCTTTCTCCCCAATTTTCGGCGCCCCCTATGGGTTAGCATTCGCCTATACTGCCTATGCCGAGGGCCGGCCCTGAGAGCATGTATTCATATGACCACAGTTTGTTATGAACTCCTCCAAATGATGTCTCAGTGTTCAAATCAGCTGTTCACACACACCCCAACATTATAAACAACATTATGGCACACTTGCTACTAAACTATCTCAACTGTGAAGAGGTATGTTCAGCTCATCTGAGAACAGCTCATGGTGTTCTTAATTATATTATTTGGTGCCGTTATAATAAAATCAGCTGTTTTTTCATTGTAATAACAAACAAAAACATTTCATCAGACGTTCATTTTACTTTGTTTATTCCAATGAAAATAGATAACAATACTTTTTTTTGTGACTTATTCATAAAATGTTCTTCAGTTGTGTGAGCCTATATGCAACATTTCCTATATATACAATGATTAGACAATACAATGTTAGATTTAGCATCAAGACATGTTAGGAAAGCACAAATGCTTCTCATTTTGAATATGTTGTCATTTTTTTAATTTAATCGTTTATTTGGCAGGGACAATGCACAGTGATGAACACTTAAAACATTGAAATGTGTCAAGCGTAACAGTGCCAGATTTAGCTTTGAGCTAATTTCCATCCGCAGTCCCTCAATGAAAAATATTTACAGAAAAAAATGCATTGATCACAATCTGATAATAAAGTGTAAACAACGCCCATCCCCTAAAACACATCCATTTATAACATTACATGATATTGAACCTGATTTCAAATCAAAGGGTTGTTCTACTCTGTGTGATTGACAGGAGAGATGATCAGAGGGGCAGAGTTTTTACCATCATTGTTGTTATAAGGACCAAAGTATGGGTAGAGTTTCTCTTTGAAGCAGCAGCCAGTGAAGGAGTAGATCAGAGCTGCAGCATCAACATCATAAAAGGAGACCAGACCCTCCTCATAATCCACAAACACCCCCACCTTCTCAGGCTGAGACTTCAGAGAGAGACGGACTGAAGGACTAGCAAATGCTTTGTACTCATTTTCATTCCTCAACACTATCGTCCAGTAACCTTTCTGAGGAGTCAGTGAGATCTTTCCCTTCCTGTTGATCGACTCTCTGACCACTCCTAGAGTCCACTCAGTCTTCCCTTTAACCTGAACCTCGTAATAAAATCTTCCTGAAGAGAAACTCTGCTTTGCTAAGACACAAGCACACAAATCAAATCTCTCTGGATTGTCTGGGAGATTCTTCCTCACATCACCACAGTTGACTTGTTTTCCATCATCAGACAGGATGAGCCATGGTTGTGCTGTATCAGAATCAAGAGTCACCTCCACCTCAGACTGCTGGACCCTCTTCAGCTCCACCTCAGAGAGCAGCTTCTTCATCTGATTACTGAGCGTCTTCTCCAGCTGAGTCACAGCTCTCCTCAAAGTCCCCTCATATGAAGGTGGACGGACCCTGACTTCTGTCCAGTTCTTGGTGGGTGGAGCAGCGTTCAGGGACGTGAAGCTTTGGAGGAGGTGGAGCTGGTCTTCAGAGCGTGAGAGCTGCTCCACCTCAGAGCTTCTCTTCTTCAGCTCAGAGACTTCCTGTTCCAGCTCTTTGATGAAGCCTTCAGCCTGTTCCTCTGTCTCTCTCTGCTTCTCTTTGATGGTGTCGATGAGCTCGGCCTGGCTTCTCTCAACAGACTCCTTCAGAGCGGTGAAGACCTGAACACCATCTGCTATCTCTCTGTCTGCTCCTTCCTTACTGAGCTCCACTGAGCGATTCATCTCCTGGATCTTCAGTCGTCTCTTCTGGATCATCTTCTGAGTTTCAGCCTCTGTCTTCCCCAGCTCAGCCTTCTTTCCTTCATATCCTTCTTTCAGAGGAACAACATCATGTGTCTTGTGGTCTAAAACAGTGCAGAGCATGCAGACACACACCTGGTCGGTCTTACAGAACAGCTCCAGCAGTTTATCGTGCTTCACACACATCCTGCCTTCCAGGTTCTCCTCAGGGTCGATCAGCTGATGTTTCTTCAGGCCTGCTCTTGTCAGGTGAGGCTCCAGGTGAGTCTCACAGTAGGACTCCAGGCACACCAGGCAGGACTTCAGGGCCTTCAGTCTGGTTCCAGTGCAGGCGTCACAGGGAACTTCTCCTGGTTTGACAACGTGTTGCTCTGAGCTGCTGCTGCTGGCTTTCTGTTGAGCTGACTGTCTGAACTGAGCAGCCATCTCAGAGATGAAAGTGTTGACCAGCATTTCAGGCCTTGAGTAGAATAACTTTTTACAGTTGGGACACTGATAGGGGACTTTAGTGTCCCAGTGTTGAGAGATGCAGGCTTTACAGAAGTTGTGTCCACATGGTGTGCTGACTGGATCAGTGAACACATCCAGACAGATGGAGCACAGAAACTGATCTTCAGTCAGCAGACAGCTGGCAGCAGACATGTCTTCACTCTGAGGACAGAGCAAGTGAAAAAACCAAACCATGGTTAGTCTTTTTAATGATTATTTGTCAAACTACAAAATATGTTGTGAATGCTCATTGTTTCAAAGCTGACAGTTGAAAACAAAAACAATCAAACAAACATAAAGAGATAATCTTTAAAAGTATAATACATAATTATAATAAGACTTAATTTACGAAGCTCTGTAGATGAGATGATCCACAAAACCACCCAGAATCAAAACATATTGAGTAACCCTTAAGCACCATATTAAGCGTGTGCGTCGTGTTTGTGAGTGCATGTTTTTATGTCCGTTCCTGAAGGGAGGCATGTCGGTGATTTTGTCAGTGTTTGTTTGTTTTGAAAGCACGAGCATGAAAACCATTTTCATTAACTCTGTCGTTCTCTAATATCTAGTACAGTGTGTCTATGCTCCCGTAGTTTAAGCCTATATTCCTAGTACTGCTGTATTTTGAACTTTTTTAGAACATTTTAATTATCCAGAATATTTGATTTTGTTTATATTTGATATATGTTTCATTTAATTTTGTATCGTTAATTCTTTATTCCACTTTTTAAGTATTTGTATTTTAATGTCTGAACACACCGCAGCTTCTATTGGAATCTATAAAGTCTATATCTATATATATATATATATATATATATATATATATAGATATATCTAGACCATCCATTAATTGGTATTATCTAATTTAAGTAATTTTTGGAGCAAGTTAATTGTTGGTGTCATGTTGAAATCTTGAATGTAATCTAATGAAACCCCTACTCATCCAGTAAACAGAAAATAATACCACAAATAATAATATATATTATAATAACGCTGCTACTGAATTAAACATAAATATTATAATTTACTATGATAAAAAATAGATCTCTGTTAAACATTTGCCCTAAACATCCTAATGTATATATGAGGAAAGAAATTGACGCAGAGTGTTGTAAATGTACCTTTTTCTATTCAAGAGTTGAGAAAAGCACTAAGTAAGTGTAAAATGACTGCTCCTGGGAAAGATAATATGTTACATAATGTTGACCAAATTAAGTGATTTTGCATTAGGAAAGCTGCTGGAGATGTACAATAAGATCTGGGAGAAAGGGAAGCTGCCAATAATATGGAAAGAGTCTGTCATTATTCCTATTCGAAAACCTGGGAAAGATCCAACCAGTCCAGGCAGTTATAGACCTATAGCTCTGACATCGCACTTATGGAAAGAATGATAACAGAAAGGCTGACGTACTATGTTGAAAAAAATGAATGACTCCATATCAGAGTGGGTTTAGAAGAGGGCGGAGTACTTTAGATCCACTGTTGTGCCTGGAATCTGAAGTCAGGAAAGCCCAAGCGAACAAGGAGTGTGTTGTAGCTGTATTCTTTGATGTGGAAAAAGCTTATGATGTGGAAGGAAGGATTATTAATAAAACTGGACATTATGGGTCTGGGAGGTAACGTATGTAATTGGATTATGGATTTTTTGTTTGCCCGTGCCATCAGAGTCCGAGTTGGCAATTCATATTCTCGAAGGCATGAAGTTGAGAATGGAACCCCGCAGGGCAGTGTAATTAGTCCTCTTTTGTTTTCTATCATGATACATGATATGTTCACACAAGTAGGATCTGATATTGGTAAGTCACTTTTTGCAGATGATGGAGCTATTTGGAAAAGGGGCAGAAATGTAAATTATATTGTAAGATTCAGGAAGCCATTACGGAAATTGAAAGCTGGTCTCTGACATGGGGGTTTAGATCGTCGGTAGAAAAAACTGAAACTTTATTTTTTACGAGGAAAAGGATAAGTGAGGAGGTTAGGTTAAAACTTTATGGACAAGAACTAAAGAAAGTGAAGACATTTAAGTTTCTGGGAATATGGTTGGATGAGAGAGTCACATGGAGTACTCACATTGATAAAGTAGTAGATAAATGTAAAAGGGTTTTAAATGGTATGAGGTGCTTGGCAGGCACTAAGTGGGGGGCTGATAAAGCTGCTTTGAGGAACGTATCCACAGCCTTAATAAGATCAGCCATAGAATACGGACTAATAGTGTATGGTTCAGCTGCATACTCTTCTCTTCAAAAATTAGATAGAGTCCAGGCACAAGCACTAAGGATATGCTGTGGGGCAGTCAGATCTACACCAGTGTCGGCAGTTCAGGTAGAGGTCGGAGAAATACCAATTTCTTTGAGGAGAAAACAGTTAATTGTTCATTACTGAGCAAATCTTCAGGGCCATGAAGATACTCACCCTACTAAACAAACTGTGAAAAAAAGTTGGGAAAGTAACAACATTAAAAGAATTTAAGAGAAGTTAAAGAATGGAATATTAGTCTGACTGTGTTGATATCAGCTGTTCCACCATTGTTGCTACCTCAACCTGTAATAGATTTATCCTTATTGAAACGGTTACATATCAGCTGTTCCACCATGGTTAACCATTATCTAAAGATATACTAACTATAGATGGCATTAATTTGGCCTCCAGTGAGACTGAAAGGAATCTTGGTGTTATATTTGATCAGGATTTATCCTTTAACGCCCACATAAAATCAATTTCAAGGACCGCCTACTTCCATCTACGTAACATTGCAAAAATCAGGCATATCTTGCCTCAAAACGATGCAGAGAAACTAGTCCATGCATTTGTTACTTCAAGGCTGGATTATTGTAACTCTTTATTATCAGGGTGTACCAAGAAGTCAGTCAAGTCGCTTCAGCTGATTCAAAATGCTGCAGCTCGTGTACTAACCAGAGTTAGGAAAAGGGACCACATTACTCCTGTTCTGGCTGCCTTACACTGGCTCCCTATAGAACACAGGATAGAATTTAAAATTCTTCTTCTCGCCTACAAAGCCCTTAATGGGCAGGCGCCATCTTACCTTAAAGAACTCATTATACCCTACTGTCCTACTAGGGCATTGCGTTCCAAGAATGCAGGGTTGTTGGTTGTTCCTAGAGTCTCTAAAAGTACAATGGGAGCCAGAGCCTTTTCTTATCAAGCTCCACATTTGTGGAATCAGCTTCCAGTTTGTGTTCGGGCGGCAGACACCCTATCCATTTTTAAGAGTGCGCTTAAGACCTTCCTTTTTGATAAAGCTTATAGTTAGGGCTGATTAGATTCAGCCCCTAGTTTTGCTGATATAGGCTTAATTTGTCGGGGGACATCTTACTTCTTCCTTCTCTCTGTCTATACCTGTGTACTCTCATGTTCCCATTAACCCAGCTTCCCCAAATGTCTTTCTATTTGGTGTCTATATATGCCGGGATCCGGAGTCATGGATGATCCAGCGGTCCTGAGTCCTGGATCGCGAGCCCTGGATCTTGAGTCGTGGCTGTGGTCCTGGATCATAGGACCTGGATGGATATCCTTATGGATTCATCTTCCTATTATACACACATGCATTTCCAAACATTTGGACTACCTATGTTGCAAATGTATTATCTTTTCAAATTACACACGGCATCTATTGCACGTCTGTCCGTCCTGGGAGAGGGATCCCTCCTCTGTTGCTCTCCCTGAGGTTTCTCCCATGTTCCCTTTAAACTGTGGGAAGTTTTTCCTTGTACGATGTGAGGGTCTAAGGACAGAGGGTCTTACCCCCTAATCGCACCAGGAGCGTCTGCGCTGCGGCTGCGCCGCGCTGCGACCTCCTCCTGCGTCCTAACCCACCAGGCGCGTTTCAAAACGTTGCGGAAGCGGAGCGTCGTGTGTGCAGCCTCGCAGTTGTTGGATGAACATTCCACTTCCTGCCTGCGCCGCGCTGCGCCGCGTCAAAAATAGGATTCATCCTATATTTTAGAAATTCCTTGCGGCGAGGAGCTTCTGGGACGCTTCGAGCCGCGGCGCAGCGCGGCGCAGCGTGGCGCAGCGTGTCTGGTGGAATAGCACCCATTGACTAGAGTGGCCGCGATCGCTAAAAACGCCGCAGCGCAACGCAGTGCAGCGCAGCGCAGACGCTCCTGGTGGGATTAGGGGGTAAGGATAGAGGGTCTAAGGACAGAGGGTCTAAGGACAGAGGGTGTCGTATTGTCATACTGATATTCTGTACAAACTGTGAAGTCCACTGAGACAAATGTAACATTTGTGATATTGGGCTATATAAATAAACATTGATTGATTGATTACATTCAAAGAAAAATGAAATCAACGTGCAGGCTTATGTGAACACTGTTCTACATGAACAATATCGGCAGTTTATTCAAATATTTACTGATGGATCCAAAAATCCAAAAAATGGTAAAACTAGTTGTGCATTTTATGTTCCTGAGTTAAAGGTCAAAGTGGAAAAGCGAGCGAGTGATCACATTGCAGTATACACAGTGGAGATGATGGCTATCTCACTAGCACTTCAGTGGATAGAGGAAGTTCAGCCAATGCGAGTGGTCATTTTCTCTGATTCCAGCGCAGCTTTGGAGAGTATAAAGAACTTATCGTCAGAATGTCGTCAGGATATTCTACATGACATTTTGCACAATCATGTATAGGTTAGTACATTTGGGAATTGTTGTTCAATTTGTGTGGATTCCAGCACATGTGGGTATTAGAGGTAATGAGGTAGTGGATCAACTGGCAACAAATGGATTAAAAGCAAACCAGATTGATTTAATGGTACCACTTTACAATAAGACTACCCTTATAAAGGATTCATAAAGGGTTTATAATTAGGTTGTAAATACTTTATTAATCATTAAGAACCATTTATAAACCAGTTCTAACAAAGTGTTCATACATCAACTCAGGCTCACTATTTGGCAAGATGACTAAGCCTTATATTAGGGGCGTTCACACCAAGTTATTTTCCCACAATAGTTCATGAGAACTCTTTTAGTTCTGATGAACTAAAGCAGATCGCGTTCACATCGCAATTAGTTCCTGGGGGAGGATTAGGCAATG